TGAGATGTAACTTCTAGTAATTTGTTTTTTTTTATTCAATCAGACAACTCAATTATGATTCGAGAATCCACTCATCATGCATGACTTGCGTCGAGTTATGCCCCTCTCTCTTTACTGACAATTACGCTCTAGCACCTTCGAAAGGGAGGTGGAAAAAGTGTTGCAGTAGAATCACCCATTATACGAACTTGCGTAAGAAAGTCGCCAATGGCCTAATTATCGTCCTTTGGGTAATCAGCAAGAACGCTGCTAGCGACATCGTCTCCGTTTCCGGCCTGAGACGCCCGGGCACGCTGTCATGAACGCAGCGTTCCATATTTTATGGACTGGAAGCCCATTTATTTACGCTGAACCACCTTTCCTTTCAGCTTGTGCATCAACCGTCGGATATGCTTTGGTTTGTCTCGTTATGAAGTTACAATTTCATGAAGTTTTATATTGTGTCATTTTGCTGGGCGAATAATAATTCTATATTTTGTGTTTTCAGTTCATCCTTTCATCCTACTACATTTTGATCGCCCGGTAAACTTTTTCAAAACCTAATGTTTAGTGCTTAAGATTCCATTTTTGGCGTTCAAAAGTAGCTGTTCTCCATCGATCAACTCGCATTATTCTCTTGTATGCCTTTAATATCCTGAGCAGACGCTCAATTCCTGCATTTGCACGAGGCCTGTATTATGGTAGCGGCTTTAATGGGCTCAGTAATCGAATATTGTTCGATAATAGCGTTTTTCAAGATGAGTTTCGAGATCATAACACTCCCAATGCGCCGCCGATATCTTGCACCGAATGGTCTTTCTCCGTGTATTTTGCATAGTAATTGATTTATGTTTTGTTGAACCTCTCCTTCTTTGCGCTTTTTGTGCCTTGACGCTCAAAAGGAGCCGTCATATTCAGCCCAGTTTTAGTTCAGTAAGAGTGACGCTACCTTGTGACGGAATATCTGAATGTTTTCTTTTACATTCCGCGCGTGTCGCGTGCATTTCTGGCGTATGTGCGGTCGCGATGTTGGTGATCTGTCAAACTTTAATTGTCGAATAGTTTTGTTTAACAATTCAGAATTGCATTTATGTGTTGAATTTTGTCCGATTTTCTATTCTTTATAATTTTTCCACGAATTTTAGTGAATCCCTCAAATAAGCTGACCTCATTCTGTATCTAATAAGATTATGATATTAATATTTATCTTCAGTGTGACAAGCCCTTGTTAGCCCTTTCTCGTGGCACCTTTGTCATTCTCTACCTCATTCGGTCGAGTTAACGCTACATTGCTGTACCAGACCGTACATACGATGAATAATGTCACAAGCTCCAAACTGTACCAGATATATTCGATAGATATGACAGATAATGTCACCTGCTCCAATGCTGCAGTACCAGATATATTCGATGCGTCAGATAAATGATGTTACCTGCTCCAATGCTGTACCAGATATCTACGATACCGGTACACATTAGAAATTATATCACCTGCTCCAATGCTGTACCAGATATCTACGATACACATTAGAAATGATATCACCTGCTCCTATGCTGTACCAGATATCTACGATGCACATGATGAATAACGTCACCTGCTCCTATGCTGTACCAGATATCTACGATGCACATGATGAATAACGTCACCTGCTCCAATGCTGTACCAGATATCTACGATGCACATGATGAATAACGTCACCTGCTCCAATGCTGTACCAGATATCTACGATGCACATGATGAATAATGAAACAGGCTCCGATGCAGCGCCAGATATATTGGCTATACACAAGAAAAGATATCACTGGCATGTCAGCACTCGTGGCTGACGTGACCTCACCGTGCTCGATCGCGTCCACTCATGCAGCGCTAAGCTCTTCAATGCAGGATTACTAACGTGCCCCGGAGTCTTGCTGCCTAATGCGCCGGTCGATGTATCCTGGGAGCTTCTTTCTTGTGACCCTCATTATTCCTTGTCGCCCAATGGCGTCTTAGTAAACGCTCTTCAACACGAACACCTTGCATTGGTGTGTGCTAAGCTATACTTTGTCATTGCACACGAAACATTAGTCATCAAGTTTTTGTATGGATGAATTTTGTTTCTTTTCGTGAAATCTTGAATATTACGTTACTTCATCCATCGCATGCAATTCTCTAAGTATAATTACTGTTATTTGTGATAATTTTCGCAAGTGCGTTATTTAACTTTTTATTTTAGCATTTAACTTTTTAACAGTTATATTATTTTTTCGCCAACTGTCTTATGATAATTTTTTCTCCACTTGCGGAGAAGGGCGTTGTCGCTCAGGCCAATAGTCGATTCTTGACCAATTTTTCATCAATATTCTAGCTAAGCTACCACTTTGCTTGATCACGTTTGTGCAAACGATGACATTGGTGTAAGAGATTCCCAATAATGTTTATGTAAAGGCAGTACTTCGCCCTCGCCTATCCACGAGAGGATGAGTGGCTCTCAGCATATAAAGCTTCAGCACCGGTACTCCCAACTACATTTCCCTTCCTAGCTCACGTATATTCTATATTGCACAAGGCCTTCACTGATTTTATTTACCTCCGTATATCGTGAAGATGCAATCGAGCCTCCTTGTCCCCCTGCATTTTGTATTTGAGAAGGCTCTCAGGTAGCCTGGAGTGGAGATGTGCCCTAAAGGAAGATTCAACTATTATTTATAGTGTTCAAGCCTGAATACTCGTGCGAATTGTTGACCTCGAATATTGAGAGAAAATTCTTCGCTTCGTTTCTGTCTACGCATCGTTCTCAGTATTGTTTACTATATAATATCATAGCGTTCTTGTTCTTAATAAAGTATAAGTTATCAAGCACGTATAAGATTATTCTTGCCGATAAGCTATTGGTTGGTGGACGAGTAGTGCTAGGCTGTGACAAGATGACAATTCAAGTTGAGAAAATATCTCATTTATTTCTTGTTGATTGTTCTCTTTTATATATGAGATGATGAGATACATAATAATAATCCAAGCCTAAGAGAGCTGTGTCAGTTTGGTATTTTTAGTGTAAGATACCAGCGCGAAACGAGCAGTGTGACGGCCGACAGTTCTATGCCGGGTGCGTGGTATGAGGCACTAGAAGGCATGACTTGTAATGAGCGGAGCGCTGCTGCGTGTAATGTGCTGGCTCAGCGATAATCGATGCTTACTCGCCTTTGAGGCTGTTCCTTCACCTACTCGTCTTGCCACTATTCTGCTTCTGCTGTACTGCGACTTCTCGCTACCTACTTTTTGCTTGCACGCATTTGCTGCTATTTAATTCTTGATTATTCGGTTATGCACGTCAGTTACGTGGGACTGTGGTTTGCAGCAAAGTTATTTTGAGCAGGCTAATGTTTAATTATGGGTGTCATGTCCTATATTGCCTTCACATTCCGTTCTCATTTGCTGCTGCCTTACCTGGGTGCGGGTAACATTTTTGCTCAGAGGTGCTTAGTGCAAGATTATGTGAGATAAACAGGCGCCTCGTATTTGGTTTAAGAAAACGCGTCTTCGGTATTTGTTTAGTTTAATGAAATTATCATGCATATTATGTCAGCTCGATGTATTTTTTTCGCCTTGTAATATGACTCAGATCTATGCCATTACCGGCTATCTCATTTCAGTGTTTGCCTGACTAGAAGATAACTCTTAGGCGTGTTTCTCAAACTTGGTTGAAAGGCCGCGAAGCCTGACAGAACTTTGTGTTAATTTTCATATTCAAATGCCCACAAACCTTGGCCGGAGAAAGATTATTGCTTATTAGTACTCCCTTTCAAAATTTTAGTTTATCCCAACGTTTGTTCTGAGAATATTCCCGCCCTTGAGTGTTGAATAAAATAAACACTGTTTGTGAGGCTCTCATTCCAACCTTGTCCTGTTGGCGCGAGTTGAGGTGAGACCAATGTTTGCTAAAGGAAGGAGTGGGCCATTAATTTTTCCAGCGACCCGCAGCCTCAGACCTAAACAAGGAACGTTTAATCTGTGCAGCCTTGGAAACTTCTCTTGTTTCCGCTGAAGTATAAAGAGAGCTGCCTTTGCCCTATTGGCTTGTACTTTAACGTTAATTAGAACGTCCCTCGTTTTTTCTTCGCTGATCGCGAAATGAGAATATTCGTGCCTCGTTACTTGTATAGCAGCATGTACTTGCTTCATATGCTGCTCTTATCCCCGCTACGAATCAATGCTTTAAACACTAGCATCTTTGGTGAAGGATCATGCACTATTCAGGTTATATCTAAGTTTAAAATATATTTAATAAAATGAAATTATTGCGCTTAACTATAAATAGCATTATTCCTCGAACACTTTAATTCCCGTCCTATTCGTTACTCCTTCTACAAAACGCTGACAGGATTATATGAACGAACGCAATATAATGCCCGATGAAACGAAATCGTTCTAGATTGATTTTCATAATTTCGATTATATTACATACCGTACCTATGAAATTCAAATCCTCAACTGCGTACAATCGTCGGAAACATGCGGTGTCGTTTAATTTGTATCTACGCTACACGAAGCTGACGGTTGACCCTGCACTTGATTGGAATATTGCGACTTGTGTTCGTTAGTCAGCCTTTGCCTGGTGTACAATGATTGCCGTGTGCACTCCAAAAACAGTTGATGCTGAGCGCTTAATCAAACCGGCAATGCACAAAGCATGTGAACAACACGAGCGCTCTTCAACTTTAATATATCGTTGCGCACTGGAAAATGCATTTATTAAACTTGGTCTAATTGTGCCGTGGCTATTACCAGCTATTTTTGAAGTTTATTCGAATTTATGCTACATGAATGATTTTGATTGCTAACCTTTGTTTAATTCATTCCTTGTTATAGCAAATTAGGTTACTTTAACTATTCAGTCACGGCGAGGTAATAACTTCGAGTGGTCGACAGTAATTAGTATGACTTAAAGATTGGTATATTTATAGTAGAATGCTTCTTGTAGTCTAGATTTTTAATGGTTTATCTTGTAGTCTGTATTTTAATGTATTTATTTTTGTTGCAGCACATGGTGCAGTCCTCGATGGCGACCGTCGCTTTCCCGTACGGCGGGCAGAACGGGGACGCTGGAGGAGGCGTGAAGGCTGTCCAAGACCACACCAAGGAAGGTCCGCCCTTCAGCTCAGCCTCCGTCGCTGGTCCTCCTTCAGTATTGTCCTCCTCACAGACACAGGCCATCCACGCCGCGACCGTCACAGCTCCCAACAGGTGACGTTACCTCACGCATTCCATCGTGCTAACTATAATTTTCGTAATCATCTTATTTTTGTTGTTTCGTGTCGGCATAGGGACTAGCGTTCATTGCTTCATTATCATCCGTAGTTCCGTGTATTGCAATCGATCAATTGTACGACCGGTTTCACAAAATATCTGTTGCTCTTGTCACGCTAGGTTCTAATGCAGAGGGCTAATTTGGCCGTTATCGACCCTGAGTAATTTATATAACTACCTTAGTGGTCCTTGAAATCATTTTGTAATATATTGTTCATGCACTTGATTGTATATTTGTATCTATGAACCGTTCCTATGTGTAATCGTAAATTATACAATATTGTATCTATAAAAGTTTTTTAATCATTTTCCAGGCTACGAGTTTAAGAATTACGCTCTAAAATGCTACGATAAAAATGCATGAATATAATGAGCAGTTAGTTAATTATGTTGTGTGTTGTGAACTTGAATTAACCGCAGCATATCGAAGGCCACTCCATTGAAAGTATCTTTGTTTACTATCGAGATCCTATTAACTTTTATGTATTAGCAGAAATAAATTCCCTAGTTGATTTACATTCAAAGGGAAGGTGATTGAAAAGCTGACGAAACAATTGTTTGTTTTTTTCTTGAGCCGAACCAGGATTTCGTTGACGTAGTAATTTTTCACGATAAATACCGTTTGTGTAGCGAGAACGGTAATAGGAAGCAGGGTGCAGACATGCTGTAGTTGTAACACTGCGTTGCGTGTGCAGTGTGAGCTCCGGTATACCGAACGTGGGGCCTGGAGCGGTCGTGCCCGTCACTGGAGCTGTCGTCGCCAACGGAGTGGACGCCTCCAATGCTGTGAGTCCTGAGACCTTATAGCTGCCGCCTCGCCGCGGTGTCTCATCACTTCTCTCCTACATAACAGTTGATACGTAGATGTATCAACTCTTATCCTATGTATATGTTGATACACTGTTATAAAAAAAACTGTGTAGGAACGGTCCCACTGGCGTTCTAGTGTCCGGTCGCCTCGTGAAAATAAACCGTTTCGCCGTTTTTATCAGATGTTTTACGGATTTCTAGTGTTAAATTAGAATAAAAACGGCGACACGGTGTTTCTTTTCACGTGCCGACCGGCCACTAAAACGACGGTAATACCGTTAACGGTAATTTTTCTAACAGTGTGCACTCTTATTGGTCGACGCGGTGTCTGATCACTTCTCGTACATACCAGTTGATATAAAGTTATTCATACACTCATAGGGTTCCTACGTAGATGTTCATACACGCTTATTTATTGGGGTATCCTACGTTGATTAATAATTGGCATTGATGCTGCCAGTAAATAATATTTTGATTTGAAGAACTTACGGTTGATATTGAAATCGGTGAGGAACTGGAAGTTCTTGAAGAATTTACTTATAACAAACGTTGTAATCATACTGTAATTGCTCTTTGATGTCTAGATCGTTAATGATTGCATAGATAAGGAATTTTCTCTATTCGATAGATCCATCGATTTTAGGGTATACAAATTTTCTATGAGCACCAAAGAAATTTCCAGTGACCATTTAAACATGCACATCGTTATCATTAACATCTCTTGTATATCTCATCTTTACGACAAATATTTAATCCCGGAGCGTAGTGAAACTTGTTCATGATTTATATGCATGTTTCACGTTCATGTCAATTAATATGTTTGTGAATAATAATACACATATTTTCATGTAAGGTATCTAATGAATATTTCCACTGAAAATCTGATTTTTTTCCTCTTTGTTGCTACGTTGACTTCTTAATCTTTCACTGACTTTACATGATGATCGCGATTACAGTTGTTTGGAAATAAATGAGCTCCGTGTCACAGTAAATTTTTTTCGTCTATACTTTCAGTTGATTAATATTTTCAGTATGTTGATGTTGCCTATCTAAAACTAACCTATCTTGATCATCATTCTTGTAATTAATAATTTCTTAGCATGCGCATGACTACAGTGTGCATCTCTTGAGTACTCTGAATTTTTCTGTACTGTATCACTCGTGTATGTGTTCCAATGCAAACCCGTTTATTGATGTCATGTTTTTGTACCAATTAAAACTTACTTATTTCGACAGTAGATTCTTGCATTCTTTCACTAATGTGCATCTTTGATATTTTCCGTGCTTGAAATTTGCTTACTTTTCTAATTACAAACCTCGAGTTTTTTTTAGCATCAATGACCTGCTCCATCGTAATAAAGTTGTTGTTATCACGGCCTTCTCTTGACACGAGTTGAATCATCTCCGCATTGAGCTGCATATACACCTCTACATTTGATCGACGATCATTCCTGTTAGATCGATATTTTAATAAGTTACAATGCAGTATGCATCATACATAAAGTTATCCGATGAGACCGCAATCGAATGGGAGTTTGCAGTTGGGATTTTGTAGTATATAAATGTTCTAAAACCTATTTGGCATGCTACTATTGATATTAAATTTTTTGTCGTCGTCACTACACACAGGGGCAACACTCTCCACTCTGCAGCTGCTTTGCTTTAAACTCAAATTTTAAACTATGAAGCCGAAGAGAGCGCAGCGCACAAAATAAAACACATTACCTCGCTAATGAATAATATTGTGTAGAGAATGTGCGCTATCATCTTTACATTCTTCTTCCTTGCTTTTCTGCCACTTCTCTGTGTTACGTGTGATATAAAATACATATTCTATCCTTAAAACACGTATTCGGCCGTCGTCCAATACAGAATTTTACAATTTCGTCATACTGAAACTATCATTCAACCTCTCGTCGTCTTGCCTCTCATGTTTATTCCGCTTACAAAGGTTACCTTTTTGGCGAGGAGTCGCGCGTGTTAACCTGTCATATTGATCCGTGTGTTGCTCTTAATTTCTGCATATACAAGAGCAATTTCAGCATATACAATGGCGCACCAAACTCTACGTTGATATTGACTCTACACGTGGTCATGAAATGCTCTGGTGTGCTCCATAATCCTTGTTCCATGCACTCGCAAGGCGGAAGATAAACCATTTAATCCAAGTAATCGGCTAGGCATACGTTTGAGGTTAGGTATCGTTTGTCACATCTCGCGATCATATTTAGTTCGTAAACATTCACATCACAATACGATTAAATGTCATCCGTTTTCGTGTTTATGAAGAATTATTCATGACATTTATTATTTAACCTCGTTTCTTCCAAACTCCGGGTAAGGGGATTCAACTTGGAAGTTAGCAAAAGTTCCCTGGTGATTTGAATGAGTTGATTACAGTTCCAATATCGCGAGTTGTTTGAATGATAACTTCAGTACGAAACTTGAGTATATTACATCCATTAAAATCTCGGGATCAGGAAGATTCTATCTATTACGCCCTTCTATAGTACTGATGTACCCTATGTATTTTAATCGTTACTAACCTCTCACTGACACTGCGATGTATACCTGCTCATGTATATGTACTTGCTTCTATCGTAACCCCTACATGTATTATAGCGCATGTGTTGCCTGCGGTGTAGCGAGTGTTTCAGTGCACTCCTGCTGGTGTTTTGTTGTCGCCGTTTGCATTATTTTCTTTCGTACCAACGAAACGTAAACTCGCTGGTTTGCCGTGCATTTAAGTGAATTTCTCGAAAATTTATCATGTACCCAATCCTTGCTGTCTATTAGTGTCCCATAATTTTCCATGACCTAAATGTTGAATTTAAGCTGGATTACGATAAAGATACGTCCTGCAACATGAATGAATAATCATTCTTTTGATTGGTTACTGGTTTACATGTGTGTTCTCTTGTATTCCTGATTCCAGTCAGGAACACTTGACAGAATTTTCTGAAAATACTATCACATTGGCAGCTTATGTTAACTGAAAACATGATTCGTTTTAATGCAATATTATGCTTCAAATCTGTACAGATAGCATCATTCGTGATCATTAGTTTGCTCTTGTCTTTTTATTGTCATTTCAATTAAACTGAATTTTTGTTAGCTGCACCTAAATTCATGACGCAGTTTAGTTTTTTTTTTATAATATTAAATGCGAGTGTGCGTGTTGTGTGTTGATAAATGTGTGTGCATGAGTTCTACCTCGTCAATATCAACTCACATGCTCAGTGTTGAGGAACCCATGAGATGCGATGACAATTAAGAGAACGGCTCCGTGTTCCTGCTACAGCTCATACCTTGTCTCATATAAAGTGATTTGCATCCTTGCTTCCAATAGGTACCTGGTAAAGATTGAAGAAATAAATTTTCCGTTATGATGTGATGTATGCTCCGTTGTATGTCACCATACAACGGAGCATACATCACATCATTATATATGACGGTTATAAGAATAGGCTTATTTGAGGAGAGGGTGAGAACTCAGTTCACCTAAATTTGAGCGATGCGTTCTTGTTAGTTTCTATATTCATTAGAGGAAAAGCAAGCTCACGAGAATTGATTGAAGGTTTAGTGGGTGCTTCGCTTTATCAAATTCTTTTCACTCATGTTAACGCAGCTTTATATGAATTCCTCGATGATCAGGTTAAAATTGTTTTTATTTTTAAAATTAAAAATTTGTTATTGATATTCCTTCACCCATTCCAGCTAGAATCAAGTTTCGGCGGTTGGGAGCAAATGCAATGGAGGAAATGCGAGTGTTTTGTGTGCAGTATCTTGAGTGTGAATCTTGTATGCTAATAGTTTCTTGTTTTCCCCTGTGAGTATAGATCCTAAGAACGTTACCTTCTTGTTCCACAAAAGCGTAACTTTCTTATTCCGCAAAAGCGTAATTTTTTTTGTTCCGCAAAAGCGCAACTTTTTTGTTGCGCAAAGGCGTTACGTCGGGATGCGTGGTATCTTAGGTACGTGTATTGGAAGGCATGGTGCTGTTATTATGTGTTGGTACGCGGCTGTGTTCCACAGGGAGGATGGCCTCACAAATTGCTTATGATGGGAGCAGACAAGCCTATCTTACCCCCGACAGGAGCTCATCTTGACTTGATGGCCGCTCCGTTCAGGCCCATGGTGAGACTTCACAATAAGTTAATTATCAGACCGTACTGTAAGCAACATTTAACTTGCCGGTTATTTCTTCAGGTAGGAATAGCGTTACACATAAGATGACGAATCAGACCGTACTGTAAGCAACATTACACGTACCGGGTATTTCTTCAGGTAGGAATAGCGTTATACATAAGATGAGGAATTGTTAACCTAGGCAGTCAATGGTTGGACGGGTATTGAGGTACATTTGAGACCGCACCTCCAGGTTACTTGTCGATACGTCCATGTTACTAATTGAGAAGTAAACATCTCTCAGCTCTGAATAACATTTCTCTGAAATTCACTATATCGTGAAATTCTACAATTGGAACTCCAATTTAGGATTCCTTCAACTCCAATTTTAGTGATGCGTGTCGAGGCATGAGAATATTTTGCCGTAGAAAACGACGTGCTGGAAGGTGAGTGACACTCGTGGACCGGTTAACAAATAGACACTTGAATCCAGGTGATGTTTTAACCCGAGGCTCGCGGGACATAAGGTCGGGATAGGTTAACTTGTCCAGCAGTCTTAGCTGTAGGATTAATTAATTAGAATTCTTTCCAAAAGATGTGTGGTCTATTATGAGACCACGCTTTCCCCGACGTTCATTTCCCACGTCATGATGTGCTCTCTGATTACTTACCAAGATGAATATGAGTGAAAGTAATGGACGAGATCGCATCATATGCATAAAAAAAGCATGAATAGCTGGCTCTCGTACTGCCCTCCATGACATTACCAGCTCTTGCAATAACTTCCTGCAAGGACGTGCGAACGTTTCAAGTACACTTAACAAGCCCGGACATCAGCCGCAGGTTTGCTTGCTCTTATGAACTAACTCTTAACTCCATAAGCCAATACTGAGAGACATGACTGGTATGTTTACGCGGCGTCTGTGGTGACCTCATACCACGGTATTTGCTCATCGTTTCCATGTGCTTCTTGCGTGAACTCTTACGTGCATGTTTACCATACCTTACATAGCCTGCCGTGTTTGCTATGAATTGCTTCAATTCAATGAATCGTGCTAATTCACGATTGCTTTGAATATTTTTCTCTGAAATAGATGTCTTGTTGAGCTCCATGCTGCTGGATCGCTCATTGTATATTTGCTTGATATCTTATGGGGGACTCTTTCGATCCCGCATTTTGTAATTTTTCTTTTTAATGCTAATGTGGATTGCTTAAATTTCGCGTGTTTTTTGTTTAGTTGTATTACGAACCTAAGCTTTTAAACCTAAATGATGCACGCATTCAAGTTTGATTTCTTTCTATAAAATAAATGCCATTCGTCTTCATTCTTCGTAAACATTTAAACGATATTTTATCTTGCATGAAGCTTCACGATAATAATTTTAAAAATAATTTCATGTACGTCTTATAACTGCGTTTCTAAAGATACTTTTTCGGGTGGGTGTCAAGAACACCCCAACTTTTCAAAGCCATCTTCTGATAGAAACGCTTTTTTCTTTCTAATATCCAAGTATCTACTTTCTTAACCATGTAAAATTTTTGTGTGATTAGATGGCATCCATCAGCCTGCATTTTATTTGGCCCTTGCACTTACTGAGATTTTCAAATACGAGTGTGCTTGCCAGCCTGCACAATGCACGTGCATCAACCTTTTCCATGTTATTTAATAACCCTGTTTTGAGGTGTTTAATTCGCCACCGTCATTCCCGCAATGTTATCTTCCAACACAATTGTTGTTATTACTATGATGATATGACTTATCTTTTATATGCTGCGTGGAATTTTATGGAATTCTCTTGTGTCACTTTGTTTGTATATATGATTCAACTTTACCCATCGAATTCTGGCCCATTTGATAGACTTGTCATCCTTCAAAGTGATGCATATCTTTATTCCGAGTAAATATCATTTCCCTCAGAATTCATTCAATTTATATCTGAATTCGGTTCGCGATAACCCCTGCAATAACCTCTCTTATCTCGCTTATTCCCAGCAGCTACTTAACTGTTGTAAAATGCTCATTTTCCCCATCATCACTTAGAATAATGATCATTTAGCTCATTCCTCTGCTCAGTATTTACGCCATTCACAAAGCATTAGTCTCTTGAACTAAACTTTAACTAATGATTAAAACCATCCATCATCACTGTTAACATTCAATGGTCACGGTTTCTAGTCGCGTTGTTTACTTATTGTCGCGAACCCGAGTTTCTATTGACCGTAGACGTCAGATTCGAGAAGCGGTTACCCGCGCAAGTTCTTTGTGCATTTATTAAAAGAGTTGACGTCTTCAGATCACGGACTCGACGGCGTCCGGTGACAGCGAAACTGTAGCTGCCAACGGCACTCCAGCCCTGCCCAAAGATCAGCCTAAACGACTTCATGTTTCTAACATTCCCTTCCGCTTCCGCGATCCCGACCTCAGAGCCATGTTTGGGGTAAGTTCTACGCCTGTCTTTCTATTATTAAAATATTATTATTCACTATATTAAATTATCGTCTTGAGATATTTTCAGCAATCTCTGTCTTGAACTGATTTCAAAAGCCCAGGGTTACCTGGGCTATCCGAATCCTTCAGACAAAAACTGATGAAATTGATCAAATAATTCTAGGTTAAAAAAAATTTTTTCACACTTTTGATGTGCCTTCATCAATTTGTCGTAAATTTACGTATAAATCAATTATCTTAACTTTATTCAGATATTGCAGGCAAACTGCCTGAAAATTATATTTTTATTCATGTAATGTTAAACTCACAAACTAAGTACATAATTCGTACTAGCTTGCTGCATCAATTTTTTTGCAGCGCCGACCAAACTACACTAATGCTTGAAGTCTACAAGTTGCTCATCACAATTGTAAAACTATAGTATTGCATTTCGCTTGTAACATTTTTCTTCCTAGTGATCTAGTATTGTGTTATTCATTCTTGTGTTTCTTCATTTCAGAAATTTGGCACAATACTTGACGTGGAAATTATCTTTAATGAACGAGGCTCTAAGGTGAGTTGTTGGCATGCACGTTCTTGTCTCGCGTACTTGCTCTTTGAAAGCTAATTATTTATATATGTGATGTATTTGTCTTGGCCGACTAACGTTCTTGGCACCTATATTTATTATTTAGATTTATGAGCTGTAAACTTATGGGCTGGCCCGCCCGGTTGAACGTCAAAGTTGGCTCCCGTTGTTCTCTGATGAACTCAAAATTTCTCTTAGAACTATTTTGCTAAATAACGCGAGTTTCATTCATTCTTATCATTACATGTTGAATTTGTGCTGAACGTAATCGCTTGTTTGTCAGTGAGTTAGTGATTCCTATCATTATACGTATCATGGTTACTTCAGGAAGATAGTTCACTTACCGCAAGTTAATTGAATATTGTATACCTATCTCTATAAAACTAAACCAATCCGATTTGCTCTCGGTTATTTCACTGACAAGTTTTTATTATGATCGGTCGTTGAGTAAACGCCCAAATTGCTTAGTATATTACCTCATAAGCTTTTTTTTCAATTGTTTAGCTTAGCTGCTCCGTGTAAAACAATGCTAGTATCTGGACACAGTCCTAGCCAGCGTAGCGCTAGTGTATGTGAGCTCGTACCCTCCCAACAGGGCTTCGGTTTCGTGACATTTGGCTCAGCAGCGGAAGCGGACAAGGCGAGAGAATCTCTCAATGGCACCGTAGTCGAGGGTCGTAAGGTTGAGGTATGTTGCTTCATCCGCACCCTCATTTCTCCCCTCCAACAATGTCACTTTGTCTTCCATCTCTTTTCATCTCCTTTCATCATACTATGTTACTTTTTTTCTTTTATTGTATCACTCTACTATCGCCCATCATATGAAATTCGCTATCCATCAAATGTATTTTTTACTGCGTTGAAGCTCCCAAGCATCACTGCTGCCCCTCCAAAGATGATGCCCTAAAACGAAGCGAAGCACTTCTCAATAAGGAATTTTTTTAGTAAATCGGCAGTAAAAGCAATTGTTTTCATGATTGTCTAGTCCTCATAGCTTTAAAACTTATTGTTATTGGCGCTTCAAACTTGCACTACTTTTTCTCGTACTCTGGAGCTTGTGCATCACTTAGATGCCGACAATAATTCCGGATATATATAAATTATCTAGTATTATAATTGCACAATCCCGCTCAGTTTACCCAGTTTTTTCAACTTCCTATTCAAAAACTTGAGTGCGTTTATGAATTCTCAATTTTAACAAGTAATATTTTGAATCTAGTGCATTTATAGTATCGTATTTTTTTATCCATGTGGTCCAAATCGCGAAGTTATATATCAGAACGTTCAGCCAAAATGCGACCAGAATTATTCTCTAGGACTGAAACATTCTTAGGAGAAATAGTTTTATTAAACCTCCTCTGTCGCACCTCCAACGAGCCGCAGAGGAGATCTCTTGAATATGGCCAGTTTGTGCCCGATTGTTCTATGAGATAGTTTTCTCCTGCAGTAATTATTCTATCGTCAACCTCCACCTTCACCAATGAAACGCCTCATTTAGCTCATTTGAGTCCCCTTCTCATCTCTTTATACTTTTTCTCTGATGTTGCTACCGCGTTCCTCATAACCTTTCACTCGCATCACTCTTTTCTACCACCACTATCACCGCTCCTCACCTCCTCGTTATTCTTATTTGTATTACTAATAAATAATTATTATATTAAAAAGTAACCAGAGTTATCGGGGGACTGGGTGAGCCTTGTTGTATGTAGGCTGTGATGCAAACGTGACTGACATGTGTCGCCTCTTCCAAACACTGCTAGTTTGCTACTCACACCAACTTATACGTAATTCGTAGCGAAGTTTTTCAATGCCCTAATGATTGTCAAAAGTGCTTCGTGTTGTGTAGCCTCACAAGTGCTGCTCTAAGTTGACTCCAGTGAATTTTGCCGTGCACCATAAATTCGGTCTTGCCGCATGATTTTCAACTCAAACCAGGGGTCATTTGATTCAGTTTTATTTTTCTTTGATTTGTTCTGCAAGTGTGTCATGTGAAGTTATCCAAACTCGAGTGTGGTTAGAATGGTCGTCTACGTATGGAAGAGCCCTTTCCAATTATTGTTAGTCTATTTATTATTAAATTCATTGCATTGTCGATGGCTTATAATCACGAGTTTTTGGTATGTTGTAGCTGGCACCAAGCTTGAACCTGTCTGAACGCTCCCTCAACCTATCTCTCTTCCTGTTCTTCTGGACTGAATCCGTAGTGACCATTCTGTCCGTACTTTTTTGGGAGGTTGTGGCTGCATTGATCTTTCCCCCTCATTTTTCTTTGCAAGTCTTTGTCCCGTTAAGCTAAAGATGCTAATTTTCTGTATGTGCCAGGTGAACAATGCTACTGCACGAGTACAGACCAAGAAGCCGACTTCTGCGGTCCCTAACGGTAAGCTTCCCTTCACTCCTTCATTTGCTGCCGTTGCTCCCACCTCCACCAACTCCCATTTGCCCTCATTTGTTGCCTTCCCTTTTACCCGTACACACGTAATCGTCTTTCGTGCCCCCCATACACACAACCGACATCATGAATTACATGCATCATCCACCTCAAATTCACTGAACGCTTGTGATCTTCCCGCGAGGGAATTTTTATACATCATTGAAGTCAAGCTGACTTCCCAAATCTGTGTGCAAAACTACCTTCTACTTCCGGCATTTTTTCAATCAATGCCTTAAATTTGGAATCGTATGCTGTTTCGATTCCTTCACTCGAAAGCCATCTTTCAAAACCAGTAATTGAACATACACTGTCGATGCCTATAGTTCCCCTGCAACACTCGCGTGCACCAACTCTGCCCTAGTATTGATACAAGCATTTGCTAACTTTGAAACTCTTCTACAGGAGACATTAGTAGTTTCATCTGATTGGTAGCGTTTCATTGAATTAAGTGATGATGCACAACAACCTGTACAGCCCTGACAAGTCTAGTAATGCTCTTCCATAAGCCATTCCTCTAATTACATCCAAACTTGAGCGCGACTTGATTTCATGTACATATCAGTTATTGCAATGGCGCTCCTTGCCTCTCGTTTACATACAGCATATTTTATGCCCCTTCCACGTAGGTACCACCTCTACGACTTTTCTCAACACGGATACATCAAAACAAATGAACAACGGGAAATCCCCATACAAGTTCAATAATTCCCACCCAGAAAACTGTAGTTGATGACACGCCTCTCCCTTGTTGCACTACAGCCTATTAGAGTTAGTTCACCATCATGGTGGTCATACGGACCTGCTCTGAACCTTGTCTAAACATACGAGGGCATTCCCTTAGAAAATCTCACTGACCTGACTCTACTCCATATTAATCAATTGATATGAATATATAAATTGCATGAACTGTTACTGCTTCCTGCCTACGCGACCGCCGTCCTAAACACTGTAATTAATGTGAATATCTGTACGAATTTTTTATCCTATTGCTTGTTTTATTGGTACCTCGTGTTTGTTGATGAAAGCTTCCCAGGGATCCACTAACGTTACCACACGTTCTGTTTTAATTAATTTGCATACGAATAACGGGTCTCGTACTTCACTAAGATATCCATGCCTCGATATCCATGGATAGCCACTCGGCAGCTCCATTCTTTATTAGTGTCTATGAAAGACTAAGCTTATAGGGCACGGACACCAGAGTGCAGTACGAGATCTCTACTCGACTTAAGTCTATGATAATCATCTTCCTATTAACTGTAAGTCTCATCATAGCCATGCTTCCAAGTGTCTTACACGAGGCATATGTCATGTTTAGTTTACTTTACCGAGTTCTTCATTATCAACAGGTAGCTATTGATAGTAATTCTTCCTGCTATGGTTATCAGAAGAGTTGCATTTTACGACAGTGAAAAAGCCTCATTTTTCCTGGTCATGATTTGATGCATCGTGTTTATATCTCAATTAGTTGTCAAAAATTTGTTCATGAGGTTAGACAATCACATATTTGGATGAAGGTTTGAACTAGTGTAAGTAATTTCATTATAAAAATTAGTTTACCGTTTGCTCAAGGAGTCTTCTTCCTGCATTTATTAAAGAATAAGATAATAATCGATCAAAAGAATAGTATTGCATTTTTATATTATTCACATGGATTGTTCAACTGAACTGGTCTTGGCTGCGCTCACTTGTCCTCGTGTACGTTGTAAGAATGAACCTTTTATTTCCTCAGCATTGCGATGACGTTTGCCGTGCAAATCATAATCATGGCATTGATATTATGGGTTTTGCGATGTCAGGTTTCCGTTAAAAGAGGCAATATTTCGTCATTTTTATCAATAGTAGTTTATATATTTTTGAGGCTTTTTTTGTAAATTGCCTGTTCATTTTCCTCCGGAAGAAATTCAGGTCGAGTTCTAACTTCTCACAATCATTCCTCGTATCTCATATCATTTCACGACGCTAGGCCAAGCTGAGTGAGCTCAAGACGTTCATGAAGCTATCATGTATTGCTCGTAAAGAGTTCAGGTCGGCTACATATAGTAGCCTTAACTGTCCTTTTTTGTTGAACTCACTAATGGCAACTCGACTACTGCCGTTGCTCAAGTTATTGTTCTCATTATACTAATTAACAATCCTTGTTCGATATTCATTAGTTGTTTTTTCTTTGTGTCTTTTAGTTCTACTGGCTAGAAATGGAATGGTGCCTCCAGCCGCGGGTGAGCCTCTCCTATACCTCCCTTAATTTGTTTTGTTTGCCTGCTTGTATTTTGCTTGTTCGCTGCCTTTATTATGTCAAAGTTCTCCTTGTTTGCGTCTTGCCTCCCTTCGTAAGCATATAAGTTTGAATGAGCGCTTCTTTACTTTCTTTTTAACCCTCTACCGCCTGATATGAGTAACCGGAGCAATATTGTCACAAGCCTGCTTCCCAAAAAGGATACGTTCTAGTGAGCGCAAAATGACTTGTACCGATGGTTGTCGCCACGTACGACAACTTTATAAAATGTTCTCTGTTGCGTACAGACGTCCTCAGGTTGCTACACTCAATAGTTTACGTATAATTTAAGTTGAAAGTTTAACTTTAAAAGGTTCTCTGTTGCGTACAAACGTCCTCAGGTTGCTACACTCAATAGTTTACGTATAATTTAAGTTGAAATTGTGTTCCCGGAGAGTGACACGGCGGTAGAGGGTTAAGGAGATTTTTCTCACGCTGCATGTACCAATGCCCATCGAACAATTAGTGGTGCTTTCAGTACTTTTATTTATCTTATTTTCCAGCTGAATCCAAAAGCACAGATTCAATCAGTCTTATCTCTTGCGTTGACTCGAAGTAATGTGCTCCGTAGGTTCATACTTACAATGAGATACCTACCAGCTATTGTACGTAGCTGGAGTATTTTTTTATTGCATGCCGCTGAACCGGTTGTCTATAATGTATCTCACCGTTTCCCATCAAAACGTTATAAATATTTTTTGAAAGAATATTTCTGAGCTTTAAAACCCTATCATAGGATACTATTATACACGCATGCATTTCAATGCCAAACTTCTCAGTTGAAGATGTGAATATATTTAGTGGTGCATGCAATTTAAATTTTTCAATTGTAATTAGTAAAATTTGCATTGCTTGTTCTATTTCCATCAATATTAAGTCTAACCATATTATAATGTAGTGCATGTTTTACGCCTCCACCCTGATTGTGTTCTTTGGACTTTTTATAGATAAACTTTCATTAGCAACCAAGCGCTCGCGAATACATTTGTTTTTCATTAAATTTTACTTCAGCAATGATCCCTCATGTTTGCCGCGGTCTGATAGCTAAGATACGTTCATTTTAACTGAAGATTCATACCCTTGCAGAGAAATCAAACGTTGCTGATGTCTTTGTGTAGAGTTCCAGCATTATTTCTACGCTCTAAATGATGACTTTAATGTAGACGTTCTCAAAAACATCAATGACAAATTATTTCCCAGCATTGTACAAATTTGCACACAATTCAAGTCAATGTTAATCCATATTCTTCGAAGTAAAGATTCAGCTTCATTTTGGAATTTGACTTTGAATGACGGAGATTTATGACGGAGAAACTAATGAACCCCGAAAATAATAGTTTTTTTCTCGTGCCACTTCCTTCTGTCGACTTATCCGGTTTTGCGTAGAAGAACGTTCACACAGTATAGAGAGTTGCGCATTCTATTGCAGTAATTTTGGATCACTCGTTATCTTACAGTTGCACGTATTATTGAGTGCCCTGATGTTCACCACACCCGACAGCAGTGATTTTGGTTCGTGTAGTTGTAGCCTGTAAATAAATCATGGGCCTTCCAAATGGTTGCTTGTAGAAATTAACCTCAGCATCTAAGGGGTCGTGAAATTAGTAGTTGACCATTACATCTCGTTGATTTCTATGCTCAATTACATATTAGCATGTGCCTGTTGCCGGTGAGATACCTTAAATAAAGTGGACGGGTGTATTGACATGAAGGACGGGTGTGTTGGCATGATAATTTGGAGTGCCTTCCCTAACAAAATTTAGAGTCGCCCCAGCTTCTGGAACTCCAAATCAGAAGCTGCCGCGCCTGTAAATTTTCACTGGGTTGGTATGGCAGCAGGACGCTGCTCATCATCAACGGCCGCGCCACGACCAGCCTCCGCACTCTGGCGGCTCTGCATGACAGTGCGGACATCCGGCAGCTGATACCTAACCTATAATTAAATTTCCTTATTATTTAATGAATGCGTCCTGAATGAGGACATTTTTTCGATTGAATGATGTTGTTTGAATAAATGTAAATTTATTGCATCCCTAATTATGACAATTTCTATATTGATACAGCGATTTTACTTCTGTACGATTGGTTGTGCTGAATGCATTTCTAATTAATTTTACTTTCAACTCAAAAGATCCCTGTTATATACGTGTCGTGTTATTGAATGCAATTCTAACCATAACAAATCTCACCCCAAGAGTTATGTTAGTCAAGAATGATCTATAAATTGCACCCCCAGGCCATATTTCTATGTTAAGGTTGTCTCTATGCATTTCATGTCACAGCTACTAACCCCTCGCACACTCCCTCTAATGTTGCTCCCTTAGTCTTGTGTGTGTGTTGGTTAGTAGTTGACACCGTCACAAATTCCTCAGTAATATAGAAATAAACTATTCTCTTGTGCTAACAATCGTTGGTCTTCAAAACGTGTTCATGAGTTCCACCAAGCTGTCTCCATTAACCTATGATCATTCCTTTCCTATATTGTTTTTTTTATAATATTATCAATTAGTTGATATTTTACATTAAAACGCGTTTAATAATATGCTTCTATGATATAATTCAAGTCAAACACGTTCAAAGACCGACTTATTGTTTGCAGGATGCTAGGCGGTGCCTTGCTTGTCAGTTCACTGTATCATGGATTCACATTCACGTCTCGAATTTTGTCAATTTTGTAGAGGGAACTCATCCCTCGCTGCAGTCATCCGAATCAATGTAATAGAGCCATGATTATTTCTCGGTTGAGTGTCAACTGAGAAATAATCGAGACTAATTTCGTGTCTTATTGAAGCAGTTATGAGCCCAACTAATAAATGTAGTGACAAGACGAACAAAATAAAACTGGATTGATATTAGGCACCGCCGCCGTCCCAGTCACTATTTTACAAACCCGTATAGTTGTGTATTCGTACATGTACTTATATTTTGAGCCTCTAATTTACTTATCCAAGTATTAGAATTATGCAGATGTCGCTACTGGAAAATCTCATTTTTAGCGAGTACTCAATGTATATTTGTGGTCTTGTGTGTTACCTGAGAACTGAGTGAGAAGCGATTCTTACACGACGCTCTCTGATCTTCCTTGTCAGTAGCGCGCACCAACAACATTAAAATATCATAGTCGTTTACATATTGAGATGAATATACACATGTACTTAGTGACCTCTGGTGAGGTGGATACGGTAGTCGCGGTTTGTACTAAAGAAGCCTCGCCAACCTGATGGACTAAAGTTTAAATGCTATCTTTAGTAGTTTCTTTGCATTGATTTCTAAACTAGGTATATGAGACAAAAACGATACATTATACTCGCGTAATTGGCTTCGAAGCAGCTTGAGAATGCCATGCAAAATATGCCGTTTCGTATAGACTTTCAAAGGTATTTTCACACTTGTTAACAGCCCTGATCACTTACCAATAATATTCGTATTGACTGTGTAAGAGTGGAATGAAATGTCTTGAGTGAGGTCGTAAACGCTCCAGAATGAGGCGTATCATCTAGGTTTCTTTCCTCCTCCGATTAATTTTAGGAAGGTTGGGCAAACATATTGAAGTTGTCTTTTCAAATTCTATGCGGGAAAAACGTCCAATAAAATCTAATGTGAGCGCAAAAATTCCTATGGGAATTCTTTCTGTTGAAATCGTCTTGCCCTGGAGTAGCAAAAAAAAAAATCGTGTGCCGGGGTCTAGGAGGAAACTAACACTCCCTTAGAACTCGTTCACGCTCATCGGTTTATATCCTGCTAAATACTTATCGGAACTGAGATAATCCGTTGCTCTATGTAACGGCTTCAATATTACTCCAATTTTGTTCCTACATTTTTGCACCGCCTAACCCTTGTCTCTCAAAATCCCATAACTATTCTGATACGTAACGCGTTGGCTGCAGTGATGCGGCCTGAGTGAGTTCTACGGGAGTGACATGCCCGATGTGCTGATCACACAGAAATGAAAGCGAAATTTCTTTCTTCTTGCATTATAGTTGGTGTTGGGGGCGTGATAAAGGCTGCAGGTAGAAGGTACATGTGGCTCGTGTGTTGGACCTCTTCCTTACTGCCATCTCTCTTGTATTCATGCTAGTGTGTTTGCATGAGGACATTTCTCGTGCACTTATCGCATGGCTGAAATTCTCCATAATTTCAATGTGAATTCCAAGGAACGTTCCATAATAAATTAAAACTTTACCATAAATCTCAAATGAGGATTGTTCGGTGCAAGTTTCGTTGGTTGATTTCGCTCGTGCTGCGTCTTTTATTCCTAATTCCTCGTATATTTTAGTGTTCTGGCATCCTTGCTACTCTTACACCATTCCTCCTCCCCATTTCCTCTCCTAAAATATTTCATGTTCCATATTTGTCTCGACGAGTTCTGTTGATAATTCTAAAATATCTTTGTTAGGAATTTACCTTCCGTAGCGCATCCATATATTTCGTATCAAACCTGTATAATTTTCTTCACTGGCTGAAAATTTCTGATGAAGAATAATGACTAATATCGTCACTAATCACTGTAGTGATGAATGGGTTTGGTATTGAAAGTGAAGACATTTGGTTCATCCGGACAGTTCTATAAAGATTTCATCGGTCACGCGTAACCTTGTCTGCGTATCAAAGTGAGTACGTACAATTAAGTGGGAGTTTGTGGGGCCTTGCTGCATGTGCCCATTCAACCATTGTTATTCATGAGGTCCTGCCGTGCAGGGCCATTTGTTTTGCTCTTGCCTCATACAGCACATGAACTTTTATTGGAGGCATTTACATACATGTCGCGTCCCAGACTTGTTACGTGCTATGAAAGCATGTTTCTGTTTACTCATCTTCTCTAGGTGCTTGCTTCATCATCTCCCAGCCACGATCTGAACAAGAATTCGTCCGGGAACAGCATGTCGCCCAAAATCGTTCAATTACGTTTTCTGAGCAATATTTTGTCATTCACGTTTTCAAGCATTAATATCAATTAGCCATTATTTCGAGATATTGTTGTAATTGTTTCTCTCTGGCGACCCAGTGCATCTCGACTGTTGTTTCACTCGCCATTCTCACTTTTTAATGCATACATTCGAATCGTATAGACTTGGTTTCCGTTCTTCTTATAACCCTCGAAAAGGAATCTGGGGGATTTGACACCAACCTGTGTTATAGCTTTTCGTTCTTACCTAATCACTCTGCAATGCCATGCTGTTTGTTTGGATGCAACCTCTCTCCTCGTATGTTTGTGTGAAACCGGTGAAACGTCGAGCATTTCACACCAATTGAAGCTGATCGAGTTTCGGTGCTGCATGGGTTCAGCTACCAATAGTTTGGCGTGGTCGTGGTTTTAGTATAGGTATTGCAGTCGCTCCTCGAAACCAGTCGCCTGCAGTATCCTTATTATTGCTCTTAATAACTTGTGTCAGAATCTTGGTTATGCGAGGCTTCTTTAGTTAACAAACCTATAATTGATTAGGTTCTGTGCTCCTATGCGTACTTCTTTACTGTTCATGCCGCCGCCACCAACACCATTGTTTGAGATGCAACATTGCCACATGATATCAGTTTTGCCCTTACTTTAATGATAAGCGTTTGTTCTCCTCCTTAATTAGGTGCCTGGATAGTAGTCAATTGCCTCGATGACAGCAAGTTGAGTGACTTCATGATGATTATTATTGCCATTGTCATTGTGCAATTCTGTTTTTTATAGTTTGGTTCTCAACAAGCTCTGGCCATGACACCCTAGACGATCACTGCCACCTAACTGTACATTATATGCAGTTGAATATTATCACTTAGCTCGTTCACCACTAATTCTTCAACAAGTGTATCATCTGTAGAGTAAATTAATCTCTGAAAAATATAAATAATGCAATATCTGTACTGATGTATGAATGTAAATTTTAAAACCAGTTTCGGCACTGCCACGTGTATCATAAATTCTTTTTAGTGTCGTTTTATGGGGTCGCGTCCTAGTGACTTGAAATGCTTTTGTATTGCCTACTTCCATAATTATTATCATCATTACTATTATTGTTCATGTTAACTTTTGGATATCTTGTTCTTTTTCTATACTATCACTACATGTTTGTTCTTTGAATGATGTTCGTGTACAATATTTGGCCTTTAGCTGTATTTGCGTACGTGTCGGTTGGCTGTGATCTTTCGGGTTGAGCTTGTAATGTCAACAACTCCAGTTGGTGCCACCTTCACCATGGCGCGACTCGCTACCATCACGCTAATACCCGGTACACTCAATCACATGGTCGAGTCTACTCACTCTACCAATGCATATAGCATCGCGTTCGAATAAAGGAAACTCTACCTGATTGTTCGACGTTCTTCAATAAAAGTACTCGTTACTCGAATCCTACGCAACAGTCCTGAAGCTTGAGCTTTGTCGTATCAGATTAAGCATCCGCTGAAGCTTTATCCTTAAAAATACTATGTATGTTTACATTTTTTTTATCACCTCTAACCGTGAATATTTAAGAGACCGAGCATTAGTGATGAGTTACAAGGGTGCGGTGATGGCGGCGAGGTCGGCCATCATCAACTAAGTGGTGCGTGCGTGAATGTTGACTTTGGATTTTGCATGATTTCAGCAGCGGCTCTCCGCGGTGTAGCGATACAGCGAGGCCGGGCGCGAGCTTATCCCGCCTCCGCTCTTGCACGTCATCCCTCCCATTTAACCGCGGCCACCACGGCTCTGCATGGCTACGCACCGTAAGTTGCTACACTACCTCCTATTTCTACTACTACCTTTCCGGAACAACCTCCTATTTCTACTACTACCTTTCCGGTACAACCTCGTTGCTCTTTCCTACTACTACCACCAAGGTCCCGGTATAACCTCGTTACTCACTACTATGACCACCTCCTACTTCTGACATTTTGTTACTTGTTCGTTATTCTCTTCCTCATAATCGTTCACTTCTCTTCACTACTAGCTCTTCCTGCCGTTAGTGGAATTCATGTATTACATCCCGTCATTCGTGTTAGCATTTCCTGGCATTTAATTTTTTCATACTCTGGCCTCAACTCTTATGCTCTTACCGCCTAACTATTTTAGTTTCATAAGAGGATTCACATTTTGCTGCCATCCAATATATTTTTAAACTTTTTTTTATCGTTTTTCTAAATAAGGTATTGCTCCCATCATTGCTTCTTTGTTTCGTACTTATTCCTTGTGTTCATTCAAATCTCTTCATCTGTTCCGTCTTTATTCCATTTTTTTTCTTTTCCATACAATGCCTATTTCTATCATACTGTAAATTTATTTTATTACACTTTTAGCTCATCTCAACCCTAATTTTTACCTCATCTCAACCCTTTCTTTTACCTGATCTTTACATCAACCGTGCCTTTTCTCGGTTTATTTTGTTTATCATACTTCGCTCACACATCCTTCTTGAATACAACTTCCCTTCATCGTATAATGTAACACCAACATGCTGGTCCCTTCAGCTCGCAATTCTTCAGGCTGCGAGATAATCTCCTTGGCCACTACTTTTCTCTGCAAACATACCATCTACGATTTCAGGAAATCCGCGTAAAATTTCAGTTACTCGTCAGAAATTGAGACTATCATGACCGTGACGAGGCTCAAAAGCGTCTTTTGTTATTCTATCTTTGATGAAATCACTGCGGCCTCCCACTCTCCATTTAAAGTCATTTTAGAAAAAAAGCGTCATGAATTTTATCAACTTCCCCTGTACTTCATACACGAGTATGAAACCTATTAATACAATAGTATTGAACGCAGCCAAATGCGAGTTTCAACAAGAAATCTTCCACTGTAATTCAATACTTCACTCTTCCCTCGTCCATATATTCAATATTATTTCCAGTTATATCCTTCTATCCTAGCTTCTTTCCTTGTGATGCTCGAGTTCTAAGTGTTTCTGTGTGTTATTCTTCACTCAGCCACTAATTCATGGCTTGTGTCTGCCTCGCGGTGCCTGCATCATAGACAACAAATTAGCAGTGTTTCCCTTTTAATTAATTGCTCAGTGATTGTGTGTCATGACCTGCTGTCTCTGGCAAGGTATATATCCTATACGCGACACGGATCCTATATGCAGCTAGCTTATATATACTACAACACTCCTTCACGCTCATCTTACAGTCTTGAATGAATCGCTGCTAGATAAGCTCTACATTTGCAATGGGTTTTCTACCGAGCATTTCTCTCCTCCGCTACATTGACTCAGTATTCTATAACTACTACTGATCTTTAATGTGCTCCATTTCAAGCTCGTATTTTTTATCATTTTTTCGTCTTTCTGATTTAATCCTTTTACTTTTTAACGATTTTCAAGCAACAATTAAGATACATTTCTCATTCGACTCAAATGGTTGCTGAATGCGGCGCCTGAAGTTTGCTCCTCGACCTCATGAAATTATGATCATAACGCAAATTTTTTAAAAAAATTCCTATTTTCAAAATCACAATTATCAAATGATTAGATCTATCTTGACTTATCTACTCAATAGCAATTGAAGATTTCTTAACTTGCGTACAAAGTTTAAGTTCGTACAGCTACAGTAAATAAAAAAATTATTACTAATAATATGATTTAGTTCACAAAAATTGAGATTGAGGAGCGCCGTTTTGAGTCTGGCGAGCTTTCTAAACTGTGGTGCATTATTTAAATGCTAATATCGGTCGCTATTGTGAAGTGTGTTTTATGTTTATTTAGATAATTACGGTGGTCATGTGGTTATTTACTAAAGGTTACTTCATAGTCTGTATTTTTGTTGTAATGCCACTTCTTACGGCGAGTGTATGAACGCGTGTGCGAATTCGCAAACGTACTGCATCAGTTGACACTTGTGCTTCCCATTAGTCGATGAAGCACCGTTTTTCAAGTAATCTTGTATTTGTAACAATTATTTTGAACTTCTCAGTGTGGTCGCTATGAATGCGAAATTGCATACATGATCTCCACTCGTATTCAAGCGAGCGTTGTGTGTTGCATCTTAATTAACGTCGCACACTGAGGGTAGCAGAGATACCGTCGCTTCGCTATTGATATATATTTTTTGGGACATCATTACTGAATATCAGAATGATACACTTAACTTGATTGAATGCCTCTCATACTTGTTCGTTCACCCTTGATTTGTCGTGTACATGCACTGCTAAAGCATCTTGATTGCTAATATAGTTGTTTGGAGTGGAGTAAGTGACATCCATTGACTTTGTTTATACTGCGTGAGCGAAGACCTATTTAGTGGACGGTCTTCGATTATGTTTCACTTACTTGCATCCCTAGTTCACTCATATTCTGTATTATGCAATATGGATGTTTGAATCATACCTCACTTCTCATCAGATCCACTACTTTTACTTCCTCGATCATGCTCCTGAACAAGTTTCAAAATTTGTTTAGGTGGTTTAGTGAAGGAACAAATTAATAGATTTTTGTGTGGTTTCATTGTTACTAAGTTAAATTGTACACATTCATATACTTTTTGAAATTGAACAAGTTATTATTTCTTCTCTGATTTGTGGGAGTTCGAGATTAGTTTCCAATCTTGAAAAACAGTCCATTTTTATCTCCATATGATAATTCGACTGCTGTTATTTCATTTGGTTATGGATTTTTTTATGTAAAATTGGCTATTTCATCATGGCATGTTACTGCAATGATCATTTACGTCAGTAAACAGAGCAGGTTACAAGATGAAGGTTCAAACTATTTTAGGTTATCAGTTTATACTGTATTCTCATCATATGATTCACTCCCATTCCTGATTTCCAATCGTGAGCATTTGAAAGATAACAAGAGGGACGGCTCAAGTTTCATAGCTCGATCATTGCATGTAACATCATCGTTCAAAGAAGATTATTATTGAGGCAACAAAATATTGCTGAAGTATGTTTATGGAACTTTTCTAACACATGGGCGCCGCCCCCTTCTGCTTTCTTTGCAGCAGCGTTTATTATGACCCCTTCATGGCCGCTCAGGCAGCTCAAGCAGCACAACTACAAGCCGCTGGCTCTTTACAGATGAACCCGGTAAGTTTAGTGCAATTTTACTCAAAACTTCCCGTCATTTTCCCTAATACGCTCATAATTTTACCCTACCAATCATCACTGTGTTATGGCTCTCATTAATAGTGCAGTTTGTCACCTTGTTTAAACTCGGTCCGAATTTTCCTGGATTGCACTTGGCATTTTCTCCTATAGTGGCTTCAAGGAATTCCTAAGCTTGATCTGAGTACTGCAATTTTTTCCATTGAAACATTCTAAGCAGTATCTTTAAACCTGTAATTAATCTATAAAGTGTGACCACCATAAATATTCTCTTGTGGTTTCAGTGATTGGAACTAGCTGCACGTTTCATTTTTTTACATAATTCCTTTTTCGTGTGTTTTTCCGTGCAATGTGTTAGCCTGATTTTCATCTTGAGAATTTAGGTGTTGAGTCTTTTTGTAGTGTAATTTTACTTTATCGTAGCTTTCGTAAGAAAGTTCATTTAATAATCAACGGAACAAATTTTTGTTTAAAATTCCCATGCGCCATGCGGCTCTTTTTTTCAAACATGTGAACTTTTTTTTCAAACATGTGAGACTTACCATTCAATAAATTGAGTTACTCAAAAGCAACTCAGTGTTTAGTTAGTCAAATTTATTTACTTCATGAATTTGATGATACTAAGACATGTATTTTTTATTATAAAGAAATTTTTTCAATGGTTTTATTATGCTGGTGTAATTATAATAAATGTCACTGGTTTCCCAGAGGCATGAGTTGTTTACTGCTCCTGCCTCTTAGGGAACTTCTTGTTCTTCCAACTCTAAGCCATTCTAAAATGCTGTAGATAAAAACGCCCTTTAATTACAGGGGTTCTTGGATTTATTTATTTACCGTTTTGAGGCCCAACGTTTTCAAATACAGATCCACTGTCATGATTGAATCACTCTCTGTAAAAGAGGCTATTGTTTATCATGACAACCTCGATTCACTGAAATTATTAACGATTCCTATCCATTTGTTTTTCGTAAGCAGTAACTACCAGATTAAATAAATTGGCTATTGTTAATGCAAGTAATTATGATATTGTTAATACCTGGAATGGTAGCTTACTGTGATTTATTTTAATTTTTTTTTTTGCTTTGAAAATTTATTCTACCGCCTCTCTAAGGGGATTGTCAGAAATCATGACTGCTGCTAAGCAATTAAATGATGCATTTTTCTTACATTTTTAAAATCGTAACAGTGGTTCTACTAACAAACTTGTATTAACTCGAATAAATTGGCTGTGTGCGCTAATAATGTCGAAGTGCATGAAAGTTACTTACATTAACTTACCTGTGAATATCCTTCCACTTTCAGTCCATGTCATCCTGCTCGTTGACATCGTCATCCGAATGGATGCTGCGAGTACGTGTGGTTTCAGATTAATAGATGTCACTGAAATATATTAACATATATTGATAATATGCTGAAATACATGCTTGCTTTAGATAGAATATTGCTTGATTAGATGTGATATATATGCCATATTTGCATTTAAGTGTAATTGAGGATGCTGATTATAAACAAATATTGCTTGCATCTTAGGACACGTATTAGATCTTTTTGTGTGATTACGAAGGGTTAAGAATGCTGTTACTGCTTCAGGTTGCGTATTGCATTCAAGTTTTTGTCCATTTCTTGTCCTCGGTTTTAAAATTTAAATCTGTTGAAATATGCAGATATTTACTTGCAATTGCAAGCTTTCAACAGGAATTGTGTGTGCAGATTTGTTGAATTTGGCAGTTTATTGCTTGATTATGAATTGTTGGAATGCACTGCATCCCCTCCTGTTTATATGCTTTGTCTCTTTGACTCGTTGAAATTAATGCAAAATAAAGTCCAGTGTTAACTTCTGAATGAATTCTTTTTATTTTGTTGGAATTAAATATTCTTACAAATGCCGATTATCTTCGAGTTCAAGTTCAAGACTCGTCCCTGAATCTAACGTGACAAGGTGGCAGAGATTTCCTTGTTATAATCGTTGAAAATAATCATCTGTGCTGCTTCAACTCGTAAATATTCTTTCTGTGGACGTCATTCTTCTCGAGTTGTTTCATCATTCGCTGACGAGTCAAAAATACAGCATTGACTTATTCAACGTTTGCTCTAATGATGTCATTTAAAATGTCCTTAAATTGGAACAGCCTTGAATTTTTTTTTCATAATACTTTATTAAGAATTTTATCATATTTTGTTTTTAAAGACAAATTTAGTAAGGTTAGATAATAATACACGTTATGTAAATTGTATTATGCTCAATGGAAATTGACTTCAATATCTCAAATGTGAACCTCATATTACAAAATTGTCAAGACGCAACGGGGCGAGTCTTGCACTGCATACGTTCTATTAATTGACGTTTGACAACAATGATGTTTTGCTCGTTCGGTTGTCCGTTAGCCTGTATGAAATACAAAGAGTTGACTCGAGGTCGGTGCCATCATGTGAAACTCTTGAATTAAATACGAAGCACTAAACTGCTTGTGATCTACAGCAACAAGCAGCGGCTGTGGCCGCCGCACACATACCCAGTGCGGCCGCGGCAGCAGCAGCAGGCATGAGTCCAGCACAAGCCGCCGCAGTTTCCGCACAACTGCTTAAAAATCCAACGCTATCTGTCTCGACGGCCCAACAGGCGTCCTACGCTGCAGCAGCTAATGCAGCAGCGGTGCGAGCATACGGACTTACTGCTGCTGCACCGGGCCAGCCTACACCTGTTGCTTATCCTTCTATACACGCTGGGTAAGATCATACTCTTTTAGTTCATTAGATACGTTAAAACTTCTCGAGTTTACGCGCCTGTTTTTAATCCCTCTATACGCTGGGTAAGATCATACTTCTTTAGTTCACTTGATACCTTGAAACTTCTCGAATTTACGCGCCGGTTAGTAATCCCGCATACACGCTGGGTACGATCATACTTCTTTAGTTCACTTGATACCTTAATTAAAACCTATTCGAATTCTATATATATTAACAGGTGCATACTTTTATTTTTCCGTAATTGTTATCACAATTGAATATGAAATAATTTTTTCATAGATTGCAGATAAGGTAATGTAGCTGGAATTTTTAAGCGATTGTGTTGTGCTGTAGTTCCAGCCAGAGTGAAGCTCATTTGGCTATTTTCTCCTTCTGAACGTTTGTTCTGTAGCTCATCACTATACGAATGCAGTTGCTTTGTAGTTTGTACTCACTTAAAATGTACTGACGTAGATGTTTCGTGCAGACCGTACGGTGACCCGTACATCGCAGCGGCGTCTGGTATCGGACCCGTCGCGGGATACGGGGTGAGTGGCGCTGTCGGTGTCAGGCAAACCCGCGCTCAAGAAATCATTTTTGTAAGCTCCCTACCCCTGACTTTTTTATTACTCTTTTCTTCATCCTTCGTTTTCCTTATGTGCTACTAATTCACTGTTTTAATATTGGTTTGACACTTTGATCATTTTAATATTGGTCTGATTTACTGTTTGCTTTTTTCAGTTTTTGTATGATAATCAGTTTTTGTTGGGTATTACTGTTGTTTTTTTAACTCTCGATTTTTCATATTTTCATCAGTTTGTCGCATTCGGAAAGCATTTGATTTCATTTCTGTAATCGCACCTTCAGCCGGTTGTTCAATTTATTTTAGAGTCGCACTTACTTAGAATTTTAGATGTGCACTCTCAAATTTTATCTCATTCGGTAAACTTCATGTCATGAAAAAATTGCAAGGTTTAAAATTAGTTTAACCGCTTTTGTGTTGTGCAGGCGGCGATGTACAGAAACAGCTACAACCGCTTCGCTCCGTACTGAAGAAGGCTGCCGTGAAGTGACGTCGCCTCAAGTTGTCACGAGAACAAACATGACACAAACCGTTTATTATTTGCTCAGTAGCCGCGAATGGCCCCTAAGGTCATGCGTCTTTAGAACCATTGTATCTAAGTAGTATTGCCACTGAGAGCGCTTCCGTCACTCGGCCCTTCTCACCTCTCCCGCCTTAGAATTTCGATACTCGTGCTCTTTTTATGGATTTGTTGAATCACGATAAATTCGTTAATATTGCTGCAATTTTTCCATTACCCTTATTTCAGAGGCGTATTACAGTTATAAACCAATTGCGTGGCAGCTATAGTTGAGGAATTATTTCAATTAATTCATCATGACTCGTCTGTAATTTATTGCATTCAATAACGTTCTTTTTTTGTGGAGTTTTCCGTCGTATTTTTTCGCTTCAGTTCTCGATTTATCTGATGATGTTTTCTTGGATAATTATTGAATGATGAAAAATCATAGTCCGGAGAGGTGGAACTGGAGCCGACGTGTTGGTGCGTTCATGGTGAATCAGGTTTAAGATGAGACAGCATTTCTTTCTCCTACATCTACGTGTTCTTCTCTTCATCTTTCTGATGGCTGTTCATCAATCTAGATTGTGTATCTCGATGCTAACCTTCTATGTTCAGTGGTGCCATCTTTGTGTTAGCTTCCTCCCTGCTTTGCACCACACTTGGCTTCGCTGTTCTTACTCTGCGCTGTATGATGTTCTTTGCTGCGTGTGCGCTGCCGTTCAGCCACCGAAATTTTCCAGCTTCTAAAGCAGGAACCATGGCGGCGACTCATATCGCTACCTAAAATTTGCTGACGTTGCTCGATGCCCTGTGGGTGGGGCTGCTTCGTCGTATGCGTTTGCCTGGCTTTGCATTTATCTTCCTAATCAGACAGCAGACTCTTGAAACGAAAGTGGCGACTGAATTTTCATACTCTTTCAGTAATTAATGTTTTCTTGAAGTTGCCGTCATTTCTTTTGCGTCTTTCAAATCAGTTTCTTATTCTGGCTCCTCGTTGCCTCACTTAAACTCGGACGCCTCTCTATTTCTTATACACTGACGAACAATAATTACTGAGTGACAGTAAAGTGTCTACCTCTTGAGTTGAGACGTTCAGCTTTGAAGTTATTATTTTGTTGTTGTTGTCGGGAGGCCGAATTGTGCTCCGAATTTCCATGAAATACTCTTACTTACTCGCCTGCTGCTATGTGAGGATTGTTCTCCTGAAGATGATATGCTCATGCATTCCTTAACTATTTCTGCGTGATCAATTTGCTAAATTGATGATAGAGGATTGTCATTGACAACTGAAATAAAAGTATTACAGTCTTGTAGTTAACTTGTAATTATTATTTTTGTGTAGGGCAGATATTGTAGAATTTTTTTTCGTAAGTTAAGGATTACCTAATTGTAGGATGTTTTTAATATTCTTATCCAACGAAGATCATTGTGAATGTGTTACTCATGTGCTGCTGATGATGTAGAGTTGTACAGTGTATGTTGCGTACACTATAACTTGCTTGGTTGGTTGGTGTCTTGGTGCGGAGCGATGTGGTGTACGTTGCATTTTTATTATGAATCTCAGTTCTCTTTAGTGAACGCTTTGATACTCTGCAAGAATCTCTCCTTTTACCTGCCGCTTTCCTCTCGTCTGTCTGTAACTTTCCTGTCTTTTATGTGACCTTTGATCTGTTATCTCGTGCGCACTGACTTTTAAATTCCATCCTCGGTAAAATCTGTTTATAAATTATCTCCTCGTCTTTTTTCATAGTTGGCGTCAAAATCTTGTTGGCGTTACATTGTTTTGTGCGCGTGAAGTTACTCAACATTTGATTGAATGTTTATTGTAAGTTAAATGACGCAAAAGGACCGATGAAGTGTCGGAGCATTCGCTCACCCATTTTCAGTGTGATAGATAGTTTAATTGGCGGTTCTTGATTGTTAGCCGTGCGTATAAAAGAGGCTCTAAATGCTTCGTCTAGGTCATTTACCGTAAACATAACATTGAATCTGTGCTGCTACTTGTGTTAACAACTGAGATTTTGGTGTACATAGCTCGCGGCAGCTACTCAACTCGCCTCGTGGTAGCTAGTATCCTCTAGTGATGGAGCGTCTCTGTATCGTTCTTGTCGATTCCTTACGTAGAAATGTCTATTGGTAACGTCTTGTTGCGCCTTTATTGATATATTTTGAATTGGTAAACATGAAGCTATACATTTATGTTTCTTCTATAAGAATTGGGAAGTAGCTGTTTTAATTTTGCTTTTCTGCACAGTGTAAGTCGTAAATTTGCTATAATTACTGTCACTGAATAAATAATCCAGTTATGGAATGGAATTCTCTTTGATTCATTCTGTTACGAATTCATAAATATTTTGTATTACTCGCTCCCTGAAAATTGTTTTTTAGTAATCTGATCTTCAGCTGGGAATTTGAACTAACTTCTGTGGAAAGCAGCTTACGATGTCACATCTCAAGTCACAAATTAGTCTTGTTTTCTATTAGACGTATTTCGATTATGCAAACTATAATTTTAAGTTAGACTGTTTAAAGATGATACATTTGTGTTGATCATAAGTTTGCATCTGTCGCTCATTTTTCTTGCTGCGTATTTTTGCAACCTGCTATTGCTTACTTGTCCTACTGCACTCGAGAGTGAGCGCCGTATCTCTCCGTTCATAGGTCAGTATCTTCTTTTCATTTATTGTTTAAGATTTATTGCCTGTTGTTTGTACAATATTTTTAAGGTGCACCAAACGTTGAAAATCAAAGTTTTTTAGTGATGGACTGCACAATCATACCCCAAAAAACTGTGTCAAGCATTTCTGTGTTTGATTGCAGTCATTTAGATAAACTCCCTTGAAGAAGTCCTGTCTTTTTCTAGCTTAATGCGTCTATTCTACATTGTTATAGCTCTACCATGTCTCAAATACTCCTAGTTTGCAGCTACGTGCTCTCTTACTCTCGACTATTTTAATGTTGCACATGTAACGTGTGCATCTTTTTAAAGCTACCTTAGCTCTTGATGTACGTGTTATGAGATATATCGTGTTATGTGAAGATTTTCATGCTTCTCTTCTTTTCCTCTACCTTAGCGCTACCTGAAATTGAGATACTATGTCTTATGCCGAGATTTTTTTTTACTGTCTTTGCTGTTGCTTGTTATCTTTTCATCGGCTTATGATCATATTTAGACCGCACATTAAACACTTTAGGTTGAGAAGCTAGTTCTGCTACTTGCATTGATTGCTCTTGCTCTAGAAAATTCAATGTTTAATATGACACTGCTGCCTCTGCGTTACGTTCTTTCTTGTTCTTTGTGTTGGATTCTCCAGCTAAGTCTTGCGTTCTTTTGTGCTATTCAATTATCATTTCATTGTGAATTTCCCCAGTTTTAGCTTTGTACAGAAATACTGCATTGACGGAAGATTATATCATCTTCTTTTCTAAGCTACTTCTTTTGTTTGATTCCAGTTGCGGTATTATTGTAGCAGTTTATTCATTTTTCATTTCCCACTGCAATGCAGCAACTGGCAACTACCAAAGATACCAGTATTCTACTGAACAAATATGAAGTTGACACGTCGGACTTCGGATTGATTATTTTGGGACTGAAGTGGCTTTTCATGTTACTGTTTATGTAACGTATTGGTTGGGAAGCTCAGAGCTTTTGCTAACATGTTGGACTCAGTGACTCGGCACAAACTTGAACTAATAGCTCTTTGAAATGCTACTTACGGGCTTTTTTGTTCTCTGAAACGTTGGACTCAAATATGTCACAAATTAATGTTTATAAATGTATTCCATTTATCATTAATATTAAGATTGACTTGTAATATTTTGAGACCCGAGTTAAATAGAATTGTAACGATGATTTTTTTGTTTCGCAATAAATTTTAGGTCATACTTCTGAAGCACAAGGTTTGATAGCACAATATAAACTGATGGTGAGGGCGACACAAAGCAGGTTTAAATTATGAATCTTTCTTATACTACGTATATTATAACTCAATTGACCATCTGGTGAGATTATTTTGTATCAGAGTCCCCGTAAGGTTGTGAAGTCGATGTCTTTAATGAGTTCTTATCTAGAAAAGATACCTACGATGAAGGATACCGTGTGAGTCTGAGGACTGTTTGTTTAGTCTCCCGAATGATAGTCAACGTTTATACTGCAGAAAATAAAACGCTTAAATGAAATTTCCATAGAAGTGCTACTTTGACTTCATTCTCTCTTTCTGTAGCCCACATTTGATAATCTCTCATAGGTCACTGAAATTCTTTGTATTGGTTATTCCTTCCCTTGAGAAGCAATGATCAAATTAATGTAGTGTATTATGACTAGATTTACGAAATAAGAGCCCTCTTCTATGCTATGGCATCTATTTAATGTTAACCGCTTGAGGAACCTGGCGGTGATCAGACAATAGTTTTGATGTCTTCCTGGAGGTGCGCTAGGAAACGTTGAAGGGATCTTTTGTGAACACATTTTTGATGTTCTTCACCTCGATTTAGAAATTTTTACTCGTGAATAAATTCTTGATGAATTTTCTGCAGGAGATTATTATTTAGAAATCAGGCTGGTTTCTATTGAATGATTTACCTAATTTTTTCTTCACTTGGTATCTAGTATCAATTAATGAAGGAAGATTTCTTGATATGTTCGTCTATGTAGGACGTTGGAAAGAAATTGTTTCGTTCGAATTTTTTACGGTAACTTGTTTTTGCTTTTTTACTGGAATGGTTTTTCGTTGAAGATATTTAAGAAAAACCAGTTATGTATTTGTGGTCTGTGAGTGTCATTGAAGTAGATCAATGAGATGACGTGGAAGTATAGGATGAGATAGTCGTACTCTTTTTACCTCCATTGTGGTACATATTGTACAAACTGCCCTTCTGTTTACTCTGTATCATAATAAAGCTGCAGGATAAGAAGTCTGTTGTTTTAATGTCCTGAAATCAAAGTTAGTTTCACCAATGCGCGGATATTTTCAAATCTGAATATTATGAGCCAGTTGTAGGAAACCTTGATGCAATCTTGGCAAGTTGCTTCGTAGTCTCATGTCATTTAATAGCTCGAGCTCGCATGAGAACGTGTGGATTGGCTTAGCTTAGTCACGGCCCTACCTGATAAGATGCTTTCTTTTGCAAAAAGACAGCATGAGTGGAACGAAGGCCGGGTGCTTCATGATACTATAGCCATAAGTTTTTATGCTTTCTGTATAGATGTGTCGGCTTATAAGACTAGGCCAAGTCTCGTCTCGTCGATTATAACATAACATAACATAACATAGTGATGTCGGCTCTGAAGTGTAGGCCTGATGTGGCCTGTCGCCGATTCTTTTCCATTTTGTGCCTTGTTCATAGATCTAAACTCGTGTCATTTGACCGGATCTTTTCATGACTGGCGATAGTTTGAAGAAGCTACTAGACTTCCACCGGGTACACTAGAATTTGTCGGGAATAAAACACTTGTACTAGCCGTTTTTCTCACTATTCGCACAATTTTGATTGTACTGCACTAACATTGAACCTTTCACTGAAATCGTTTCGGTACAAAATTCGCGAGATAAGTCAAACCGGCATAGTAAGAAGTGAGAAAGTTGGGACCCGCAAACACTACGTGCGTCCTCGATCACTGCCAGAACTCAACTCCCCAGAACTCAACTCAACTCAGAACTCAGAACTCAACTCATTATAAAATTTTTGAAGCCATCTTGGTCGTGTACCTGCAACTCACCGCCTAATCTTGGTAGTCCTAACCACTAATTCAATCGTCAGATATTTCAACTATTGAATTTAATTTCCAACTAGGCTTATAAACGTCTATTGCTAATTTATTCTATTTAACCGATAGAAGATTTTCGTCCTCGGGTCGAGCTTAGCTAGCTAACTTTGAAATAATTTTCTATTTTACACTGACCCTCATAATTAATACTTTGTCTTTTCGAGAAGCAACATTTCATAAGAGCCACATTCAATAAATACAATGGTAAAAATTATTTACTTATAGCTTCTAGTATGACCAAATGAACTAGATAAAAAAACTGAAAGCTTCTTTACCTTCCCAGTGTACCGACATCAGCAGGGTTCTACTATTATCCGCCATCCGTTCTTCAGAAATAGCCTGCTAAAACTTCATCTCAATTGACAATTTCCCATTGCGTTTTAAAATTGTGCGCTGCCGAAGTGCCGATAATGACCAATTGTTTTCGTTATTTGAAATTAATATCACTAATAATGCTTAATTCAATTCAATAAATATTACCTTTTCGAATTCTCAGATGTCAGATTTGTATTTATCATTTATGTCTTCACAGCTTACGGCACGATCACGAAAAAAATGAATTCTGTAGTACCTATCACTATCACTCATTATGTCTCTATCTCGCGGTCTTGCTGGACAGTCTCAATTTTAGACGTTACTTTTTTGGGCAATTTAGCCACAGTGGTTTTGTTTGACTGCTTTTATTCATAATTCACCCACTGTCATGTGGATGAAGTGTTCAAATTAAAAAGAATAACTTGTGCAGCACGGCAAAGCGGGCAAACCAGCATCAAAATCCAAAGGACCAAATCTCTGGAATAGCTAAGACAATAAGTCTTGAAAAGATCTTGATTCTTGAATCTTGATTGAATTCTGGAAATAGAATTGTAGGTCAATTTAATTTAAATATCAATTTTGCTAAAATATTAATTCAATCCAAAAATATCACTTAAGCCCTAAGTTGTTAAGGATGAAAATGAAATTGTTATGAGGTAAACGCGGTATATTCCGACATCGTAGGTAATTCCGTCACCTCTCCAGCTTTTCCTTTATATTAAGCTTTGTTTTAGTTCCATCACTTCCATGCGTTCATTGATGGTTGTCGGTTGAAATGGTGACGTCATAGGGTAAACGCGGTACGGTATATTCCGACATTGTAGGTAATTCCGTCACCTCTCCAGCTTTTCCTTCATGGTGGCAAACAAATTTTTTGCCCGACTCATTTTTAGATGCGTTCATAACTTCATAATTCACGTTCACTTTTTGTTATTTTACTACACTGGGCCCGATATGGCATGTATTAAGTATTTTCAAATTGTTATGTTTGAATGTTCTACTTTCGATTTGATTAATGTTTTGTATCACACTGTCACACATAATCACAGGTTCACAATGGTCAGTAGTCACCGCAATGGCTTCCGATTGCTGTTGCCACAACAAGATCAAGAAGTAAACAATACCCCCGTTCCTACTTCCTAGGAATACCAGCTGTTACATGTTAGATTGGGATTCAGTCACTATATTAAGGCTAGTCTGGAAAACATCTACTCTCCGGGCCGCGACTGGAATTCTGGAGCCGTGAATTAAGGAATTTTCGAGCCGTAAGTCTATTTCCCAAGCCGTGGAAAACCATTATTGAACCGCGAAATTAGTTCAGTAGTGGAGTACGATAGGTCATAGGAGCGTGGTTACGTGGTAGTTGGTACTAAACCGCGGACCTTATCAATCAGTAAAGCCCAGGATACAGTTGCTATAATAATTTTTTCTTATAACCAGTGGAAAAACGAAAAGGCACATCTGTAGACAACTTTAACAGCATTACTTATGAAGGCTAGCTCTACCTAGGCTTTTTTTTCTCAGTGAAGATGACTAAACATCGTATGCTTGTCTTGTACAGAACTAAATGGCTTGAACAGAACCACATTAAATGTTTTTACATTTTGGCAACATTTCGAATAATTTTAGAACTAAAAAATTCGTTGCATAAAGTTTTTCAATGAATAGCTTAGGATGTGTTGTATTACTCAAGGCAAAAGTTTGTTCCGAGACGAGAAACGTAAAAATTCCTGTTTTTACACATAACGTAAAATCTCCAAACTGACTTCTTTAGCGTAAACGTTAACTAATTATTATTTACAGATAGTTAAACCAACAATACTTTTTAGTGAAACCTGCTTATTATTCTAATACCATTTTATGAAATATTCAAAAAGGTTTACGAATGCTAAGCAAACCAAACGTGCATTCAGCCAACGATAAAAGAAAAAGAAATATTGACCAAACGTGAGTAGCACGCAAATTAATTCTAATTGTAGGATTGCGCATAACAATATCAATCAAGCTGGTATTAAGGAACGAAGAGATTACGAAAGATTACTACATCGCATCACAATCTTCCCCCTTAAAGTATAGACTGCAATACAGCCCAGTGACGGGTGTCTGGAGTGGTCACTGCTTCACACACGTAAAAATGCAAATGGCCGCCCAAAATGTTGCAAGTGACAGCGCATCTCAAATGAAGCGGAAGCCGATTACCAATGCATTGCTCGTGCACTCGTCTTATATGATTTACCAAAAATCATCAGTATGCAAGAGAAATGCATACTTGACTGGTTCATTTTTGAGCCTTTGTAGAACCTTGCTCACTTCTGAGAAGGGAGACTTGTTCTTGGTGTCCGTATGAATCGAGGGGGGAGAAGGAGTTATTCCCAGGAGAAAATTTCCATCCAGCATCAAGTTGGCAACTGTCTCCATGGTTGCAGGGCACCTGTAGGGTTCGGGGTAGCACCAATCTATAATACTTCGCAACTCCAATGTCTCGTTTGACATAGTACTTCCTTTCCGCTGGGTATCCACAACGGAGTAGAAGGACTCGACCACAGCTTCACACCCACCCATGGACACAGCCACATCAAGAGCAGTGCAGAGTTCCTGTCCGACCCTTTCAAACACCTGCAAAACATGTTTAGTTAGTTGCAGTGAGACGATTTCTTTGGGTGTAAAACTATACTACTTATCATGTGGCTTTGCTTATAATTAATAAATATCAAGAACTGTATTTTTTAATATGATATTTGTTGGTGACAAAATTACATTCTCTCAACCTGGCACTCTACCTTTTTATCCACGTAGAAAGATTGCAAAAAGGACGTTTCATCGAAGACGCTTGAATGAGAAACGCCATTTGAAAATTTGAACTCGTACTTCTCCTCCTCTGTCGAGCAACGCGACATTTTCACCAGCTGGCAGGATACTTCCGGGAGCTCGGGAAACCAGGTGTTGAGGGAGAAACCCGATTTACCCCATACACAATCGTAGATGAAATTGCAATACACGAAGTAAATTTCATTCGAAAGCTTAGGGTCAAAGTTGAGATTTTCTTCAGACTGCCTTTTTTGTACCTGAAATTGTTGATAGCTTTTAATAATCTAAATGTTCTTTTGCAACCAAGTGTTTACACGGGAAGAAAAATTTAAAACGGCTACCAATATTTTTGATTAAATAGGCTCATATCCCTTCTAGTGAATTAGTAAGGTTTATATTACATTATGAATTGATTTCTCAAAGTAAGTGGAGCTGTATCAAATTATAACAACTTAAACGTTAAGCAAGAAGTCAAACTGAAATCGATATACAAGTTCATCAGCTCACAAATCATTAACAACTATATAAATTTGTTAAAAAGTGCAAACAGTTGTAGCATTATTAGATTTACACATAGAAACAATAAGTTATACAAAAAAGTATTCACATCACAGACGTGGGAGAGGGAGCAAACAAAGCTGAAGAAGGTATGAAAAGATGTGGCTCCTCCAAGCTTGAATTTATTGCCTTGGTCCAGCTTTGGTCGCCCACCAGGATCAGCTCGACTGCCGGTCAAACGCTCCAGAACACGCCGCGGATTCATGCACTCGTCGAGAAGGTGGGCTACAGGGTTTGAGCAATCTTGAATCTAGAAGGTCAAGACCAAAGAACGTCCGCCTGCATAGTTCTTCCGAGTGTTTTCGGGTGTTCGGAAATAAGTGAACAGGAAGGCGGGAGAGATCAGCTAACGTTTTGAGCTGTTCGAGTTCGTCACTGATGCGGTCCAATCGCTCCAAAGTGTCTCGAATCCACGAAACCGAATTCCAGATGTACTGTTCGACGCGTTGGCATCGTTCCATCAAGTCTTTGAGGGGTATGAATATGTCCAGGATCATTACCAGTTCCACTGCAAAATCTTGTCCACGAATTTTAAACTTAACAGCATCTACCGGGCTCGCTGTCTCTTGATTCTGTATGAAGGCTCGAACAAGTGGCTTGTAGCTCTTGTAGAGCGAGTCAAGAACCGCGACTGAAGAGCTGAAGAATCTGGAATGTCCACGAGTCAGTAGATGCCAATATTTCGTTTCGTACACCGAGTTGCTATAAACAGTATTTAGGTATAGAGGAACTTGTGTGACTGTTTCAAATCTAAATCAATTGAGCGTTGCCAAAAATGTATAATTACGTATTTCAGTTACATGTAAAGAATTTAGTCAGAGTTTTTTGAGATTGGTATATTTGAATATACTGGTGCCAGTTCTAAAGTAATATTCTTAGCATAAAACTATAACAATTCAACAATAATTTCTTACCTTGTGGTTACAAGACGAGTAGCTAAAGTGGCCTTCAAATCCCCCCCGATTGAGTTTGCTATGTATTCCGAGTAGCCACGTCCAGCAGCGAACATGTCAGCGAAAGAATTAGCTCGATCCAAAAAACATTTGAAGAAAACCGAGGAAGAGGACTTGTCTCTGACTTCCTTGGCTGCCAGGTCCAAGTAGTGGGCTGAGTCCCAGAACACAGGCACTGCCAGGTCGTGATCACCTTCTTTAAATCCACATCGCTGCTGCAGTGTTGCTCTAAATCCGCGAGCTTGATATTGGCCGTCGGAGTGATTAGCTGGTGAAATTTTTTTTAAAAAATCTTATCGGTGAGGAAGTTGAAGTACGTTAAAAAATTATGAGAACATGATTTCGTATTCACACAATTTTTAGTTCAAGAGACATTTTAATTCAGTCAACAAAATATTACGCAAAAAAATACTACATAATACTACAACAAGTTTAGACTCTGGGCAGCAACCAATACTCGAATTACAACGCTGCAAGGAAATACGGAAATAAACCAGCACTACAATACAAGATATGCACAAGTCGTGCCGAAATCGCGGAACTGCCGATTCTATGGAATCGGCAGCCAGTTTACCGAATCTGTAGAAAAGCATTTCGTTGCCGATTAAAAACATCGGACGTTAGAGTCAAGAGTTAGAACATAAATCTAGTTTGAGTTCGAAAAGGTTAGGTCTACTTCCTTTACATTTAAATAAAAAAAAAGAATTTGGCTGACTGACCTAACCCCGGATTCCTGTAATAACAAAATGCCGATTCTACAGATTTGGCAAACTGTCAGCCGATTCCATGGAATCGGCAATTTTGCGATTTCGGCACGACACACATGCAAAGCGTTACTACACTGGCTACTTGAGGCTAATTCACGGAGTAGGCCATTAATTCAACGTTCACTTCCTTTTAATTTAGCAACGGAATATCAAATTAAGAAGCATTGAGTCGATCATCAGTCCAAACTTACTTCGTGGAACTCTTAACTTGATTGTAATAGCAAATTTATTGTATTGCATGCAATTTTAAAATTATGTTTTTTGGTACCAATATTTTTCCTCTTGACTTTACTGGTGAAGCAGAGCACAAATAAAGAGAGGAGGAGGTCAGAGGATAAGAATTACTAGTAAACCTAATTTCGTTGCTTTGTGTTGTATTTATATGAAGATATTTTCGTTTAAGCTGATTTTTTGTGGCAAATTTGGAAACGATTAATGATAAAGATAATTGTCAAACAGCCTTTTTCTAGTTAAATCAATGCCAATGCAACAACCTGAAGCAATAAAATAAGTAAGTAATTCTTTATTCCATGTTAGTATTAAGACTTCAAAATTTTTAAACTAAAAAATTGAGGTACATAGAAAAAAATTTATAACGAAGATAGGACTGTGGATAGGTCAAAGCTGACTAAGACAAAAGATTGAGAGATTAATACAAAACACTACTCGCGCTTCGGAGCTAAAATACGCTTGAAAGCGAAATTTTTACTCAATTCCAAGCGAAAGTTTCCCAGTAGTGTAACAAATGAACAGTATTACCAGTATGAAAAGAGAGGGATTCATCTGATAGCAGACAAAACTCTTTTATAGTATTAATGACTTGAGTGGCTAGCTCTTCAGCAGTTCCTCCAGCAAGTTCATCACCAATTGAATGCTCCCCAGTACAAGAGTAAACCTTAGGTGCTCCTATTGGTACAGCTTTCTTCACACCATAGCAATAGATCGCGGTAGAACGCAATAGATCGCGGTAGAACGCAATAGATCACGTTAGAACGCAATAGATCACGTTAGAACGCAATAGATCGCGTTAGAACGCAATAGATCGCGTTAGAACGCAATAGATCGCGGTAGAACGCAATAGATCGCGGTAGAACGCAATAGATCGCGGTAGGACGCAATAGATCACGTTAGAACGCAATAGATCGCGTTAGAACACAATAGATCGCGTTAGAACGCTATAGATCGCGGTAGAACGCAATAGATTACGTCAGAACACAATAAGTCATGTTAGAACACAATAGATCATGTTAGAACACAATAGATCATGTTAGAACACAATAGATCATGTTAGAACACAATAGATCATGTTAGAACACAATAGATCACGTTAGAACACAATAGATTGACAAGTTTTTTCAGCAGTAGCATTGGGCTTGCCAGACGTATGCACATTGTGATCGGGTGACAGATACAAACAATCAAACAAGCTGAAAATGGGCGCGGTGACAGCGGGGCTGATCATGCAATCTATAGTTTATGGTCGGTCATGGCTGCCTGAGCCATAGTTTATGATCGGCCATGGACGCCAATTTAAGGTCGATGTGGCTGATGGAGAGCTTGAAAAGACGCTGATATCTCGAGCTAAAAGGCCCTACTCTACAGCCTGGAGCGTGGGAGGTTGTCTGCCGGAGGCTGCGAGCCGCTCCTCTAATTTAAGGTCGGCGTTCACAAAACTCAAATTACTAAGGTAATTTAAAATTGATATGTAATTGCACCATGGCTCCACGCGACAAAATTTTTTCTCGCTTTGAATCACCGACATGCGGAACAGCCTCCCCGATGACATCGTTGGAGCTCCAAGTATGAACACGTTCAAGAACAGACTAGATAAAGCTATGGAAAAATATATGTTCAGATTTGAAATGCCTAGCTCCTTATCAAACCCGGTGGAAGTCTAGTAGCTAGGTACTTCAAAGTTCAAACTATCGCCAGTTATGAAAAGATCCGGTCAAATGACACGAGTTTAGATCTATTAACAAGGCACGAAAAGGAAAAGAATCGGCGACAGGCCACATCAGGCCTACATTTCAGCGCCGACATCATTATGTTGTGTTATGTTAAGTAAGTTATTCTGGAGTGTACTGTAGGTGCAGTATTAAGGTAGTAAAACTTACTTCAAAAAATGCAACTTCGGGAAATGTATCATTGGTTGGAGCATTGCCAAAGGAAGTCTCATCAGATACATTGTCACACTCAAAGCTCATTTTGAGATTTTGTTGCAGAGAAAAACCCAAGCCGGGGACAGGGGGTGGACAAACGTCAAGTCTCTTGTTCGCTTCACCTCACTTCCTAAGTTCCTACCCAAAATCCTAAACGCTGGATAAAGAATTCTGTCTTTGAAAATCAGAATATCGAAAAATGCTATGCACGAACAACATTCAACCATGCAATATAAAAAGTTTAAAATATGAGGATTTTTGAAATTACTATTTCTGCGAATAAATGGTAAGTAAATTATTTCCAGCTTAAACCACTTATCAACTCACTGACACCAAAATGCAGAAGTCTACTCTGGTAACGTTAATAACATAACATAACATAGTGATGTCGGCTCTGAAGTGTAGGCCTGATGTGGCCTGTCGCCGATTCTTTTCCATTTCGTGCCTTGTTCATAGATTTCGTCCAGCAGGCGAGTCCAATCGTTCAACGTAGATAATAAGTTAGTGGTGCAGGATCTGCCGGCAATAAAACCATGTTGACAATCTGATATGAGATGGTGAGCAGTCAAGTGATCCTCCGGAGTCAAGTGAATGACCTCCGGACAAGTATATGGCTGGACTTGGAATTGAAATTGGGTGCGTGCTGACCTCCGGTCAAGACCTTAAAATCGGTCATTCACGCTGCATAAAAGCTATTTTAATAGCGTCACACTGCTTAAAAGTTCACGTCACACGCAGCAGCTAACAAAAAGTTCAATTAACAAGAATTCACAACAATCCCAAAAGACCAAAACATTCAGTTATGCATGTCGACATTAAAAAAAAAAACAGAAAAATCCCACCTTCCACTCTCTCAACCCTCCGCTCCTCAAGACCTCACTCTTATCATCCTCATCTCCCTCATCCTCCACACGTTTTCCAAATATCTCTTCACTCTTTCAAACATAGCTACAGACAGACCCACAATCATTGTCATCCACTCTTCGCTTGTTCTCTCATGCCCCACTTCGTCAATCTCACCTCCCTCATTTGGAATCACCTCCATCATAGACTGTCATTTTCTCTCATATGCCCCACATTCCATCAACAAGTGCTCTACAGTTTCCTCCTCATCCCATGACACATAAAACATTTATCTTCAATCCTCTCATTCCACCTGTATGTACGTCAATTGACTCAATTCACACCAAGTGCCCCTGCCCTCACACATAACAGAAGGTCCCCCTTAACTCTACTACCATCATATCATACATTCATATTTTAGCTTCGCTTTCATCTGATACAGTCTAAGAGTGTCCTATCCCTACGTTCCTTGCTTCCTCATTTTCAGCCCATAGTCGTGCACTCGTTTATTTATTTCTCTTTTCCACTCTTTTCATCCCACTCTATCCCAATTTCACCTCGTACTGTCACCACCCATTCGTTATTTGGCCCAGCAGGTCCATGGCGCACCCATGCTTCATGCATACCACACTTACGCACCAATGCATCACATCTACATGCCCATTTGCTCACTTTTATGTTCCGCACATACGTCTTTCGTACCCAACGTTCATCGTCCCTTCGTCCGTTCATCGGCCAACGTTCATTCGTCCAACGTTCATCGTCCAGTCCTTCTTTACACCTCAAAACTGATCGCATTTTTCTCTCCTCAAAGGTACTCAATCCCATGTCCCCTCTCAGGGCCTCAAACTGCAGCATACAAAGGCACGTTTATATCTGTGGACAGACATGCGGCCAGTCTCTCGGCTGATCTCCAAAATTATACACATACACAGCGTTTATGAAATATCTCATATGGTAATGAACGTTACAAAACGTAGCTTAATTAAACTTTACAAGTGATTTTTTAAGACGTAATGGTGATGGCTAGAACGGGTAAAATTTTCAATTTCACCTTCATTCGCGAGTTACGCGGATGTACGGCGAAATGACCGGCGTTTCTGGAAAGTTTCATTGACCATGATATTGAAATATATCATAAACTAAAGGAAATAGTTCAATGAAACCTTACACACGTATTTTTTTAGGACGGTGATGACTAGCCCGTGTGAATTTTTTCGATTTCACCCTCGTTCTCGACTTATTCGTTCAAACGTGGAATCCAATACATGAGCGTTGTTATACATAAATACACATATTCACTTAGCATAATCCTGTCAGTACAGTTGCCTTTTTTGTTATGTTCGTGATCCGCACCTCTCCCCAATAACTTGATGAATTTCTTATTCATTCGGATTTCGCGTCATATGTTGTCATTTCTCATTTATTTCTCATGTTATTATTAACAATAGATGGAGTACGTATTCGTAAACTTTAACCAACTCGTACGTAAGTTTAATGAGCAGATTTAGAGTAGGGGTTCACTTTAATGTCGCATTCTGGGCAGGCATTCACAACAACTCGCTTTGCCGAGTCTGCTGTCACTAACCGAGCGCGAAATACATTCGTCGTCATTTGCTTACTCGGTGTCAGTGATTGTAGCACTAACATCGCCGTGCCCTCAGTGGGAGCGGGCCCACTTCATTTTGTATAGCCGATTATCGCTTAATTATGGTAACGAATTAGTTGCCAGTATTCGCCTACATTTTATTATAAAATTATTGCGTAAACGATTAATGACTTAATCATGAGATACATATGAGAATGATCACTGGCAGTAATGAGTAAAACATACTTTCAGTTTAAGTGTTGCATTCACGGACGATCCAACTTTGAACTCGGCACACAAAAAAATCAAATAAAAATGTTTCATGTTGTCTAGACGATCGAAAAATGCACTTTTCTGAGACCTTCTGTGCTGGTCATACGCAATTTTTCTAAGTAAATTTGAAGATTTGTTATGTAAAATTTCATGTTTTCTCGACGTTTCAGCTAATTTTTAGCCTTTAATTTTTCTGAACGTGGTCCGGCCCTTGGTTGAACTATATAAGGTTGACCCACGCGGACATCCGGCTTTCAGTTCAGCATTTTTGTTACGTCACTGAGATCAAAAAACGTAAACAATCTCGTTATTCCCATGACAGATTGGTTGACTGGTTAGTGGCTTGATCGCATTTCGGTGATTGGTTAATGCTCATGACGTCACTGAGATCAGTGACGTCACAGGCGAAAAACAAACTACATCGGCAAAAATGAGCATCTCATTGGTCAACCTTATGTGAACTGCAACCAGGGTGGCCCAGTGGTTGCAGTTCAGAGTACCAAGATTGGAGCAGAGAGGCGCGGGTTCGATCCCAGCTCTGTGCGCCAGTTTCTGGTCAGAATCGGCGAGGAGGCCGGGCGGTTAAGCACCTGTCTCTTATACACATCTAGATGTGTATAAGAGACAGTTATCGACCNAGTGAACTATAATATGCTGAATTATGATAAAAGAAAATTGTTAGTTTCTTGTAATTGTATATAAAATATTCTGTTTACTCTATAGCCTGTCTCTTATACACATCTAGATGTGTATAAGAGACCAGTACATGATTTGTCATTTTGGGGAATTGGATTGTGTGCTGTCTGACGAGTAGCGGCTGATTTTTATCATCTACGGTAGAAGGTCTGCCACTCTGCCTGTTATATCGACAATTATTTTTTTTAACAATTTTGAATATAGTAAGTGCGAATGCGTCTTGTTCGGACTTGAGTCGACTTTGAAAGAATGGGGGATGCTCAAGGTAAAACGTTAAAAACTTTAAAACAATATGACACTGTCACTATGTAAATCGGTGAATGAATTGTGCCACATACTGACATAGTCACATAGCACGCTGACGCAGCGACGTAGGCTAGGGTGGATTGTGCATTGTGGTTTGTATACTCTGTAGTCTGTAAGGATGGTTCATCAGTTGATTATTACAATTGTATGAGACTATGAAATTCTGAATAGATGGTTCAATGTCCATTCATAAGTAATTAATTGGAAATTTTGAAAACAGAATCACTCTCTCTCTCTTGACTCTCTGCAGTCTGCAGACTCTGCTCTCAGCTATCTGCTATCTTAAAAAAATTGGCTAAAAAAATTACATAAAAGAAAGTCTAAGTTTTTGGACTTTTTTTGGACTAATCAATAAAATTAAATTTCTCTGCACCTCTTCAAGGTATTATTGCAGATTAACTACATCCAAAAAAAAGGGTGATTATTGCAAAAAATCGGTTTTCCGATGCCGACCGCCAAAAATGGATTTCAGATTCGTAATCTACACCCCAAAAAACATATAATTAAAAAAAAAAACACCCTTTTTTTTGGATGTAGTTAATCTGCAATAATACCCCTCTTCAATTCAAATAGTATTGAAATTCAAAATACTTCTCACTTCTCAAAAGTCAGAAATCAAACGCGATATATTCTGACATCGTGGGTAATTCCGACACTTCTCAACTTTTTCCGTTATATTAAGCTTTGTCTTAGCTAGTTCCACGGCTCCACGCATTCGTTGATGGTTGAAATAGTGACGTCATACTATTGTGCGCCATACTATTGTCTATTGCCAAAACTCAAAACACTAGGTCTGGCTGTCTGGGTCTGTGGGCCATCTGGCAGGAACATCCAAAGAGAGACAGTGCACGTCATGTCACCCAGTGAGGATTTAAAAAAAATGTGTCAAAGTTGATAGTACTGCCGTGTGGAACATAGTGGCAAACCAGAGCTTTTTTGGAATCAGTTCATTTTTGATTTCCTCACTTATTCAAGATTTAAACCAATTTCTTATGCTATAGTGGCAAACCACAGCTTTTTTAGAATCAGTTCATTTTCAATTTCCTCATTTACCCAAGATTTAAATCAATTCCTTATGTATGATACTGCTGGTATCCAGGATACTTTACTGGTCTATTTATAGGACTCACAAATGAACTTGAGGGAGAGTCTAAAAAACTCTCTGCTTTGCCACTATGTTCTTATGTATGATAATGCTGGTATCCAGAATACTTTACTTGTCTACTTATAGGACTCAAAAATGAACTTGAGGGAGACTGGGAGAGTCTAAAAAACTCTCTGCTTTGCCACTATGGACTGTGGAATTCTGTATAGGTAATATATTCTCATGTCAATATAAGAAAACGTAGCTAAATACCAACCCTACCACCGCGTTACACCACCTTCCACTGCAATGAAAATTGATGAACTGAGCTCATTAGAAACTGCTCTGCTTCCGAAATCATGCATGGTTTGAAATCCAATCCCATGTTGCCAACGACTAATCAAGTTAACTAGTCTTTATCCGTAGGCTGGCGGACACATTTTTGCAATGAATACGTACTAAAATAAAAAAAAACACATCCAGCTTCGTAAAAAATTCTCACGATTGGACAACACCCACAAAGTTTTCGATTTCACACAAAATTATGAGATAAACTGCCACTGTTTCACTGCGTACATTCACACGGTGTTTTCTGTTTACTTCTCACAATATGGTGTCTAGTCTGGAAAACATCTACTCTCCGGGCCGCGACTGGAATTCTGGAGCCGTGAATTAAGGAATTTTCGAGCCGTAAGTCTATTTCCCAAGCCGTGGAAAACCATTAGTGAACCGCAAAATTAGTTCAGTAGTGGAGTACGATAGGAGCGTGGTTACGTGGTAGTTGGTACTAAACTGCGGACCTTATCAATCAGTAAAGCCCAGGATACAGTTGCTAGAATAATTTTTTCTTATAACCAGTGGAAAAACGAAAAGGCACATCTGTAGACAACTTTAACAGCATTACTTATGAAGGCTAGCTCTACCTAGGCTTTTTTTTCTCAGTGAAGATGACTAAACATCGTATGCTTGTACAGAACTAAATGGCTTGAACAGAACCACATTAAATGTTTTTACATTTTGGCAACATTTCAAATAATTTTAGAACTAAAAAATTCGTTGCATAAAGTTTTTTAATGAATAGCTTAGGATGTGTTGTATTACTCAAGGCAAAAGTTTGTTCCAAGACGAGAAACGTAAAAATTCCTGTTTTTACACATAACGTAAAATCTCCAAACCGACTTCTTTAGCGTAAACGTTAACTAATTATTATTTACAGATAGTTAAACCAACAATACTTTTTAGTGAAACCTGCTTATTATTCTAATACCATTTTATGAAATATTCAAAAAGGTTTACGAATGCTAAGCAAACCAAACGTGCATTCAGCCAACGATAAAAGAAATATTGACCAAACGTGAGTAGCACGCAAATTAATTCTAATTGTAGGATTGTGCATAACAATATAAATCAAGCTGGTATTAAGGAACAAAGAGATTACGAAAGATTACTACATCGCATCACAATCTTCCCCCTTAAAGTATAGACTGCAATACAGCCCAGTGACGGGTGTCTGGAGTGGTCACTGCTTCACACACGTAAAAATGCAAATGGCTGCCCAAAATGTTGCAAGTGACAGCGCATCTCAAATGAAGCGGAAGCCGATTACCTATGCATTGCTCGTGCTTTCGTCTTATATGATTTACCTAAAATCATCAGTATGCAAGAGAAATGCATACTTGACTGGTTCATTTTTGAGCCTTTGTAGAACCTTGCTCACTTCTGAGAAGGGAGACTTGTTCTTGGTGTCCATATGAACCGAGGGGGGAGAAGGAGTTATTCCCAGGAGAAAATTTCCATCCAGCATCAAGTTGGCAACTGTCTCCATGGTTGCAGGGCACCTGTAGGGTTTGGGGTAGCACCAATCTATAATACTTTGCAACTCCAATGTCTCGTTTGACATAGTACTTCCTTTCCGCTGGGTATCCACAACGGAGTAGAAGGACTCGACCACAGCTTCACACCCACCCATGGACACAGCCACATCAAGAGCAGTGCAGAGTTCCTGTCCGACCCTTTCAAACACCTGCAAAACATGTTTAGTTAGTTGCAGTGAGACGATTTCTTTGGGTGTAAAACTATACTACTTATCATGTGGCTTTGCTTATAATTAATAAATATCAAGAACTGTATTTTTTAATATGATATTTGTTGGTGACAAAATTACATTCTCTCAACCTGGCACTCTACCTTTTTATCCACGTAGAAAGATTGCAAAAAGGATGTTTCATCGAAGACGCTTGAATGAGAAACGCCATTTGAAAATTTGAACTCGTACTTCTCCTCTGTCGAGCAACGCGACATTTTCACCAGCTGGCAGGATACTTCCGGGAGCTCGGGAAACCAGGTGTTGAGGGAGAAACCCGATTTACCCCATACATAATCGTAGATGAAATTGCAATACACGAAGTAAATTTCATTCAAAAGCTTAGGGTCAAAGTTGAGATTTTCTTCAGACTGCCTTTTTTGTACCTGAAATTGTTTATAGCTTTTAATAATCTAAATGTTCTTTTGCGACCAAGTGTTTACACGGGAAGAAAAATTTAAAACGGCTACCAATATTTTAGATTAAATAGGCTCATATCCCTTCTAGTGAATTAGTAAGGTTTATATTACATTATGAATTGATTTCTCAAAGTAAGTGGAGCTGTATCAAATTATAACAACTTAAACGTTAAGCAAGAAGTCAAACTGAAATCGATATACAAGTTCATCAGCTCACAAATCGTTTACAACTATATAAGTTTGTTGAAAAGTGCAAACAGTTGTAGCATTATTAGATTTACACGTAGAAACAATAAGTTATACAAAAAAGTATTCACATCACGTACGTGGGAGAGGGAGCAAACAAAGCTGAAGAAGGTATGAAAAGATGTGGCTCCTCCAAGCTTGAATTTATTGCCTTGGTCCAGCTTTGGTCGCCCACCAGGATCAGCTCGACTGCCGGTCAAACGCTCCAGAACACGCCGCGGATTCATGCACTCGTCAAGAAGGTNTGGGTTGGCAGGCTTGCCATTGAAGGGCCGGCCTCGGGGTCATCGGCCAAGCAGTCGGCAATAGAGCTGCTTGTACCCTTGGGCACACTCATTTGGGAACCTAAAATCGTAGGCCTGTATCCGGTACTGCAGTTCGTAATGTATTAGAAATCAAAAATAATTTATCCGGGAAGGAGGATCCAAGCAATCAAAGAATCAGATTTTCCCGAAATCCCTTATTCCGAACCCAGTTTCGATTTACATGCATAATCCTGTTATAATATACTCTTAGTATAAAACTCGCATTTAACTCCAAAATTGCATTAGAACACAATACAAGTTTTTCTTTTTTCGATAAAACTTACAAAATATCCCCGACACTGTAACTCTACAACTACAAGTATTGTGAATACGAGCACAATCAGAACTTCATCAATTCCAACAGTGCAATGCTAATTGTGTTACTTCAGTCACAAAATCAACTGCGGCTTTAGGGTAGTTGGCGGCTTCGATTTCATCAAAGTTTGAACTAACGATTTTGCAATCAGCACTCGTCTCAGCCTCTCAGGATGACGTGTGATGTGTGTGTTTGACCTAAACATTTGAGCACAGAATATATCTGGTTCACTGTTAGATAGGTTTCTATCAAATTCCAAAATGAACAATAAAAAATCGTATTAAAATAATTGAAAATATCAGAGGCTGAAAATTAAAACTATAGGTACTACACTAGAGCTAACAAACAGCTTTCAACTTTCATTCAAGTGTCATTGCTTCCATGGACGGACAGAAAAAGGTTAGTAAGGTGCCGGATTTAGTCGGCAGCTCGGGCTTGAACTAAGACTAAGTTTGAACTAAAGAACTTTAGTCGGCACTCAGCTTAATGTGGCAAACGTTTTCAGTCAATATTACGCAAGTTACCAGGTACAGTAAAGCGTAATCATACATACAAGGCGTAGTCTTGTATCAAGTTGTATGATTACGTATGAAATTTGACGCTGATCTACGTTCTGTATTAAAACCAAACTAATTATGGCCATAGAATGACAGGAATACTCACAGTTGTATAAATACCGCACAGTCTTGATTAAATTTAGAAGTCGCGCAAACTAGGGCAGGAGTCGTCCTTCAATAACCACACGTGGCAAGAACATGAGCTCAACTAATTCGCTGCCAGCTGCCGTTGCCCGCGGCGCAGCATTACGATTGACGACGCTTTAAAATACTTCATGTTATTTCATAGCCGGCAACTCCCTCTGTTGGTCGTTCCAAGAGGTTGCCCCACACGTCACCCACTGAGGAGCCACGAGATTTTTAATTTAATGAATTTCCGTGACTATGGAGCCGCGAGATTTCATATACACTGAAAAAAGGGGGCTCGCCAGCCGCGAAATTTCTGAAAGAAGTAGACATTTTCCCCACTAGGACGGTGTCACACACTTATGTTTTGGTTGTGTCTAGTTTGATTTCACAATAAATAGACTTGATTCACATTCCATTCTGAGATTTAAATTATTGAAAGTTTTTTTTAAATTATAAAAACCTATTTATACGTTCCAGATTTGAATTTTTTGCCCTATTATGTTGAATTAATCTTGATAAATTCACTTCAAATTCTGAATGATTTTGTCTGCCATCATACGTTTTTGAACGTTTTGTGTCTTTTAGAAAATTTTCATTGTTTAACATGGGAAACTATTTCATTAAATAAAACATAGAGCATGTACCTTATAGTGCATTAATAATACAATTTAATTTAATTAAATTAATTTTTAATTTAAAAAATATAATCAGATTTTTAATTCAATATTTTTCTAATAGAATTTTATTCTATAGCATGTACCATCTAGTGTATTAAATAATAAAATTTGATTTAGTAAAATTTAATTGTAATTAATTTTTAAATTTAATTTAATTCTACAGCTTCAACCGGTAAAAATGAGCATCATAGGAATCAAAGTAAAACTCATTCATACATCACAAATTGAATGACATTGGATGGATTTGATAGGTATTTTATTAATTCTGTTTATATATAAGAACGGAAATTATGCTATTTCAGAATGATAATGGAAATGTTTCTACTATTTCAGAAACTTTTCTTGAATACACTTCTAAAAACTAAAGTTCTGTAATCAATGAAGTCCTTGAAATGACAAAATCATTCAATTTAAAATTTTTAGCTATAAGAGTAAGATTGTCATTTGTCAATATGAGGAGCATTCATCCGTCATTCGTGAGGAGCTGTAAGAAAAAATTCGTTGTTTTTTATATAAAAGAATATTTTCCAATTAAAAGAAATGCAATACTTGATTTTTGGAAATATGATGTTAAAATTAACTATCCGTATTAGAATTCAATAGACGTTACGATTTCAGAATTATCTTCAAAAAGTTTGTTGTCGTTCGTTTGATCAGAAGTTTTCGTTCGTTTGATCAGAAGTTTTCATTCGTTTGATCAGAAGTTTTCATTCGTTTGATCAAAAGTTTTCATTTGTTTGATCAGAAGTTTTCATTTGTTTGATCAGATGTTTTCATTCGTTTGATCAGAAGTTTTCGTTCGTTTGATCAGAAACAGGAAAAGTTTTCGTTCATTTGATCAGAAACAACATAATTATTCATTCTCTTGCATTAAGTATATGAACGATTAGTTAATTCATAATTCATATACAACCGTATACAAATTAAGTATACGATTGATCATCCCGCTAGATCACTGGTAGCGGGAAAGAAGCTAGGTACCTATTCAATTCAGTAGCATGTTAGCTCACGTGTTATGTAGTTTGGCTCATCTGAACTCTGAATTGCATGTTTAGTGTGCATGATGGGAAACTCTGCCTAATGATTACTTAATGAAGTTTAGTTCATTGCGGTCAACTTAAGAGACAAATTTTCAACTAATACTTTTTATTAGTCTAATTTTAATTGTTGAGTGAAAGGTGCAGGCATACAACTTCCAAGTGATTACGTACTTTATAGAAACTGAGCAAGTTAGCGTACCTACGTGTTTTGAGCCCTTAAGAAGTTCATTTTTTGCCTCAAATAACGATGTTGGATCGAAAAAGTGGTCTTGGTGGATAATAAATATATGAACCTTCAAAATTAGAATTCCATCCTGGATAGTAGACCTTGCTCTAGGCTCTAGGGTAAACGTGGTATATTCTGACACTGTGACACTTTAAGGACGCATCGAGAAATGAAAAACTATAAAAAAATAACCGTATGCTTTACTCAAGTTCTGTTTGCTTTATGTGACTCTCAAAACACCGCACTACGCACCAGCAACAATGAAACGCCACAAAATGTTGCCATATTTATTCAAAAGCCTATAGAATGCAAACCTACCAAATCCCTATATTCCGACTCTGTGTGACTAAATTTGACACGTTGTGAGATGAATTCCGGCCGCGATTCAAACTCTATAATATGTAATTCCGACATCCTTGTGTTTGAATTCCGATCGCTGTGTGAGCTGTATTGGAATACGACATGGCTTTGAATTAGAACACTATTGAATATTGAACACTAGGTACTTAATTAGGCTTTTAATTAACAGCTATTAAGCTTTTAATTAAGTTAATTTCAATTTTTGCACACAACTCAGAACGAGCTGTGTGTGTCCAATTCAAGTTGTGTCGGAATTAGTTTTTATGTGTCTAAATCCGTTTCTTAACTTTATCATCTATTAATTTATTTACGACTTGAAATCAGCAAATACAAGTATACTTAAAGGATTCCTAATATATTCACAGACTTATTTAAAAGTCTCAAACCATAATATTCTTTCTACACAAACAGTTTATTACTATTTGGTGGAGCAAGGTCAAGTGTCAACTTTGACACATTTTTTGATGATCTCACTGAGTGGTGTGCACTCTCTCTCTTTGAATCTCAACATTTTCCTGCCAGACGGCCCAAATCTAGTGTTTTGGCAATAGTTTGGCGTGCAAAGGTATGACGTCACTATTTCAACCATCAACGAATGCGTGGAACAAAGACAAAGCTTAATATAAAGGAAAAACTAGAGAGGTGTTGGAATTACCCACGATGTCAGAATATACCGCATTTACCCTAGCTCATTTGAAGGCTCTTTTTTTCTTTTTCTAGCTCTTTGAAAACTATTTGTGTAGAAAGAATATTATGGATTGAGACTTTTAAATAAGTCTGTGAATATATAAGGTATACTTGTATAAGTTGTATTTGCTGATTTCAAGGGGTAAATAAATTAATACATGATTAAGTTAAGAGACAGTTTTAGACACATAAAAACTAATTCTGACACAGCTTGGACTTGGAATTAAACACACACAGCTTGTTCCGAGCTGTGTGCAAAAATTTAAATTTTCTTGATTAAAAGCTTTGTAGCTCTCAATTAAAAGCCTAATTAAGTAGTGTTCAATATTCAATAGTGTTCTAAGTCCAAGATGTGTCATATTCCAATACAGCTCACGCAGCAATCGGAATTTGAACACAAGAGGGTTGGAATTACAAATTAGTAGAGTTTGAAGCACAGCCGGAATTAGTCTCACAAAATGCTGAATTTAGTCACACGCAGCAATGACAGCATTGGAATATATGGATTTGGTAGCCTGGTAGGGTAAATGCGGTATATTCCGACATCGTGCGTAATTCCGACACCTCTCTAGTTTTCCCTTTATATTAAGCTTTGTCTTAGTTCCATGCATTTGTTGATGGTTGAAATAGAGACGCCCTACCTTTGCGCGCCAAACTATTGCCAAAACACTAGATTTGGGCCGTCTGGCAGGAAAATGTTGAGATCCAAAGAGAGACAGTCTATGCCACCCAGTGAGATCATCGAAAAATGTGTCAATGTTGATAGTTGACCTTGCTCTACCAAATAGTAATAAACTGTTTGTGTAGAAAGAATAGTATGGTTTGAGACTTCTAAATACATCTGTGAATATATTAGGAATCCTTTAAGTATACATGTATTTGCTGATTTCAAGTGGATGAATAAATTAATAGATGATTAAGTTAAGAAACGGAATTAGAC